TCGGTAGATGGCGGCAATCGGGGTCGAAGTTCCTCGCTGGCGATCGCCCGTCGACCCAGCGATGAACGTTCCCCCGGTAAATATATCCGAATCGTTACCGGCGCGACCTCCAAGATGGGCTCCAAAAGTGAATTTTCAAACGACGGGCCCGGTCGTGGTCGTGGAAGTGAAAACTCGATCTTGGAGAATTTTTGAGCCGTTTTTGGTTACCACGTGCCGGGTGTCGCTTAACTCGGGTTCGCGCCAAAGGGGTTATCTTTAGGGAGATGGCAGTTTCGATTATTCAAGGTGGAACAAACGGAGCGACTCGTTAGAGAGGTTATCTCGTCCTATCCGGAGCAAGGAGGATCGATCGAGGGCGACGTCGTTAGCGAGGCGGCCCTGCCGATTTTATTCGACGTAGGTTCGGGAACGGTCGAAGCGACGCCGCGACGCCGCGACGCGCGTCGGCCCATTCAGGCGAAGAGCTTCGATCGATTTCGGGCAGAGGGCCGAAAAGCGACCGGTCGCGGGTGCGTGCCGAAGGGCCGCCTCTTGAGAGGTTAGGTCGGAGCTTCGATCGCGGCAGGAGCGGCGTTGCGGCTCGCTGCAGAGGTTATGCGACGCGAGCGTTGCCAACAGGTTTAATAGTTAACTCCATCCTCGCCATTCACCGCGATCGAGCTGGATCGACCTCGCGTAACCTCACGCGAGAGGTCGTGCCAAGTCGCGCCGAGGAAAGGCGACTACTTCCGGTCTCTCCGCGAGGAATCGAGCCCCTAATGAGAGTATCGCAGGGAAGCCCGGGGTTCCCGGTACCCGGGTGCAGGGTGGACGCGAATCGATTCCCCGTAATCGGTGCCGTCGGTTTTATCGCGCCTGCCCCGAGTCGCCGTTGCCCCTTGGAAGGAGTCGATTCGAGAAATTTCTTCCGCCCGTTCCAGCGCTTCGTTCGAATTTCGACTTTAGGGGAGCTTCCGGTTTTATGCCGCGACCTAAAAATCCGGATCGTCGAGATTTTTCTCGCCCGACACGAATTTGCCCGAATTGTCCGGTAATTTCGGCAAATCGGACGGCAACTTCCCCGCTGGGTGGGCCGGCGATTTCATCGACCGTGCGAGTCTCGGAATAACTCCGCGCCAATTTCTGGAGTCGTTATACCTATCGAACGGGGTTCGGTGACGTCAAGGAAGTGGCTCTGGCTGCGGACGAAATTTTTCGGAAACGGAGAATCCTCTTAAACGGCCGGAATCCTCGACACGTACGACTTGGACGGTCGGTCGGAGTTCTCCTTGTTCGCGAAACCTCTCGAGTAACTTCGAAACACCCGGAGGGTTATCCGAGCGACGCGACGTCGCGCCGAAGTCGAGTCTCCGCTTTTGCGATCCTTTGGCATCGATCGGCCCCTTCCGAGGCGTTTATCTCGCATCTTGGTACGTACGTAACCCGTGATGCGCGATATCGGAACGCCAAGGTTCCGGAGAAATATGCCTCGGTTGCGGCGACCCCAAATATTACCCGCTGTAATATCCTAACGACGTATAATTAAATGGAACTTCTTCCTCGACGGTCCTTACTTCCGTCCATAGAAATTCACGAGTAATCGAATCTCCTAATGGAAGCTCTCTCGGATCCGTGTTACACCCGCGGAACCATTTTAGCCATCCCCTACCCCGGACCCGCCGTGGAAACTTCCATCGTCGATGCTAGAGCTCTCCCTCGGTACCCAGAGATGTTTCAAATCTCCGTTCAAATCTATTAGAGCCAATTTAAATTTTCCTTCGGAACATCCAATGCCTCGTTGACGAATCTCTGGACGAACGGAAGCGTAACGCGTTATCCGCTCCCGTGCTCGGCAAAATTTCCTCCCGTTCGGAAATTTCTTGGAGGGGACGCGACGGTTTATATCGTCCCGCTGACTTCTTTTTTTTTTTTTTTTTTCCGAAGAAGCAATTATCGAGCGAGACGCTTTATCCCCGGGGAGAGATCGCCGTTCCTTCGGAGCCCTGTTTACGGAAGCGAGAGCGTGCGAACGGCCGTTTATTGAATCGAGAGAAAAGTACTCCGCCTCTAATTACAGGGTACAATTTTCCGGCAGTTCTCGATTAATTGGACCTCGCGACGCCTCGTTATTCCCTCTCACGTTTGCGCGGATCCGCGATCCTCTTCGTTCGTTCGACGATTCCGCCATTTTCCTCGGAAAATATTTCTCATAAATATCGTAAGTACGTAAATCCGTATTTTCGGGCTAGGGAAATATTTCCATCGTTTAACCTACATACGGGATACGTCCCGTGGGTCTGCCGGGGTACGTTGATAAATCAAATTCCTGGAGTCTCTTCCCCAGCCCGAGCTTCATCCCGTTAATCTTTTTCATCAAAAATTCGCCGCCCTCCCTCCTTGGCTCGGCTTTAAGTCCCTTTAATGGAGAAACCAGCGAGGCGAGATTATCGATGCACCTCTTTCCCAAATCGCGGCGAATTTCCAAAGTGGTCGTCTACCTCGACGTTGATGCGATTCGCGCGGTATTAAAGTTTAAATTACCGGCGAGCACAATTTTCTCCGACTTCGGTCAGACCCGACGGATTCGTCCTAAGATTTGCTTGGTCGGCATTATATAATTATTCCACTTGGCAGCGGTTAGGGGCGCGAATTGAAAAATGTCGAGGTGCCGATAAAGCCGCGAATTTTCGAATTCGTTATTTCCGGAAAACGGGTCAAGTGGCTGGCGGGCATTCGGTTCATTGAATTGGTTATTCGCCAATGAAAGCGATCGTCCTCGGAAATAGAGGGGAAATGTATCCTGTCCCGAGGCACGCGATGTCAATTTTTTTTTACTGCCTTTTTTTCGCTGCTGTAACTCGCGCACATAGGCATAAAGGGAGATGGTACGGTCCCCTGTTTAGGTCGGGGAAGTAGACAATTATTTTCGCTTTTTCACTCTTCGGGGAACCTCCTTGGACGTCTCTCGAGGCGTCCTTATTTATTCCGCTTCCTTTCGGTGGCTTCTGGCAAAGCCACGGAAGGAAGTGGCATCCTTCCTCGTCTTTAACAATTTAAGCCAGCGGAAATCGATATCCGACCGATAAATTCGAAGGTCCGTCGTTATGTGTGGTAATGGAAGGCTCGTACATACCCACGTTTCGTAAGTCGATTTTTTCGCGATTGTTGCTTGGGGGGAAAAAAAATATATCCAACAAATCGTTCGTTCGCTATCTGGAATTACGCTGGCACGTGTCGAAATTCCCTTAATTATAGACCGGTGTAAGAACGGTATGAGCTTCGAGCTTTAGCGAGTGGATTATGGAAGCCCTAAACATCGACCTGGCGTGCCTATCTATCGAAACCTTGCAGCATATTTTAATCGGCGTGGCAAGCTCTAGGACTGACTTAGAAATGGGTTATAAAGCTCGAGAACTTTTATACGATCCTCGGGGTCGAAACGCTTCGGGGAAGGATCGCTGAAAAACATTATTCCACCGTAATCTTCGAGAAAGATCGAATACCACATTATGAGATGAGTAGAAATAATGAAAATGGGTTAAGCCGCGCATTTCGACGTAGCTTTGTAATTAGTTTCATTGCTTATTCCGGGGAAAATACTCTCGTGGCCGTTTTAAGGGCCGGATGCAACGCGCATCGTCTAAGGGTAACGGGTAAATAAACGACGCGACGAGCTCGTTTCTGGACCTCGTCCCAAGGCGACCGTTCCAATTTTTTAGATAGTTTTAGCGTTTTCCCAGAGCCGTGGACGTGCTTTATCAAAGCGGGCCCGTGAAGTGCTCCGAAGAAGCGTTTAAATGAACGCGCAAGGGTAAATTCGGTGATAAGGGGATTCCTCTTTCGGTCGGACCTCTCGCGGGAATATCGAGCCGCCGCGAAAGAATTTCCCTCGAGATTGAAAAGGATTTCCGCATCAACGGCTCGGCGGGAAACTTTGCTCGCATTTAATCTCGCCTTCGTCCCCGCCACGGGACTCGGCGAGCTCCCGGAAATCCAATCTCGTCGTCGCGAAAATTCTCCTTAACTTTCCCGGGAATACTGCCCCTCGATTGCGCGCTTTCGAATCCCGGCGACGTTTTTATTTATCTCCCCCCCTTTTTTATAAACATCGCGTCTCGAAGTTCCCCGGAGGTGGAATAACGAGCGGGTTAATTCGTGACTTCTGCAGTGGCCAACTTTTCCGGTATCCCTTTTTCCTCCGTGGTCGAGCTTGCGGCTTATCAGGAGAATGGGTTATGTCGCTCGTCACTTCGAAGTCACCAAACCGCGATGGAGAGTTTTTGCCGAATCCACGTTTTCCCTCTGGATTTCCCTCTCGCTCCGGTTAACTTTGTCGTCGCCCGGTTGTGCGCGGAATTTCCGACCTGCTTGAAATTTGACGTTAAAAATATGAAATTCATATAAAATCGAAGTAAACGTCCCAAGAACGCCTCCACTCGGGTTTTCGATATCCCAGGCGAACCACGGTGGCTTTAAATTCCACCCCTTTGTAAGGACGACGCGTATTCTCGTAGCCAATCGATTCGCGGCTCGCAATCGCGACCAGAAAGTAAAAGGACGGCTTCCCGCGGATACGGCGGCCACAATGGCGGCGTCACTTTTATTTTCACCCGCTCCCAGATATTAGCCCGTTGCAGGGGAACAAAGGGTGCCGGCGTTTCTCGATTCCACGCGAGGATCGTGGATTTTTTTTCCATCCCAGATTTCCTGACACCTCGCGACGTCGAGGCGCGCCGCGTCGCGTACTCGACCTTGCGGGCGGATTCTCGAAATCGCGATCAATCGACCTTGACGCTATCGGGGATTCTCGGACTAATCGGAACGCACCGTTTTTCCGAGCACTTTCGAGCAATCGACTCGTCGATGGATATCGATCCGGGGGAGATGACGAATCGCGATCTCCGATTTCGATCGCTCGCGTTTCAAGATAGATTCGGGTAGTCCCGAGTTATTTTCGCCGAATTTACAAATGAATACATTTCAAAAAGGTCTGACGGGAACGCATTTGTCTGTTTTAGCAGCTCCATTCGGAATACAGGAGCACGTACACATGGCACGAGTACACGGGGCCGCACCAGGAACACACCGTCGTGCGTCGGGCGCCCCAGCCGCCGCCGACGTCCAGTAAGTCCGGAATCGACGGTGAATCGAGTCCACCGAGTTCTCACTTTACCTTCCTACCCGGAAACGAGAGTCTCGTCCGTCGCAACGACGAGTCGACCGATCGAATCGAGATTCACCTCCCGCACCTTCGAGAAATCGGGCACGATTAATAAGTAACGAGGATCCGGAACCATGGCGCGAAATTCGGATCGATCAAAGGGTACCCGCTCGTCTTCGTTGGCGAAAAAAAAAAAGAAAAAAACGAACGCCCCCGAAGATCCCTCTCATCTGGAATTCACCCCCCGGGGGTCGGGAAAGGGAAGTGTCGGCTTCCTTCTGCCGATTCGGTCGACCTTTCGTTGCGGATGCGAGTCGGTCTCGACTTCTTTGATCCGACTTCTTGTAAATTAGTTCGTTTGAACGGTGTTAGTGGCTCCTTTTCGTGCTACTCCTCATCGTCACATGTGCAGCACCTCACACGATCGTTCACTTTACTCGTGACTTACCTCTCATAATTAGTTTCAGTGTCGGTGTTGTACGTTTTTTCTTTGTGTAACGTCTACGCTTACGTAGATGCATTCCGCCCTAAGGCCAGGCGTCGCTAAGGAGCAACCGCGCCCTCGTAGCTTCGCGTCGGGAAGGAGACGAGGATTCGCGTTTCCGTGGAGAGGGAGGTCCGATCGAGGAATTTCATCCTCGCGAGGGCACTTCTCCAAAGATCTTCCCGAAGTTCGACTTCGACCGCTCCTCCTGGTCGCGAGTTTGGCACTCGCGAGACGCGCAAAAATCGAGGATCGCGATTTCGAGTTTCGGCGAACCGATCCACTTGGAATGGAATCGACTCCGGAAATTAGCGGAATAGATTCCACGAGGAGCGATCGACGAATCGATCGGCACTCGGGAAGCGTAGACGAGAGTCGGTCGAGGGCAGAGCTCTCCGGAATACGTCGAAATTAACGAACCGATCCGGTCGTCCTCGCAGAGGCCTAGGCTAGAGCAGTGAGATAGAGAAACGTGCCAGCTGCGAATTCTGATTGCAGCGAAGCAAGCGAGCGCGAAGCTGCAATCGGCCAAGTCCACCGAGGATGAGAACAGCGAAGGTAAGACGTACGATCGAGCTGCGAGAGAACAAGAGGAGAAGCATATATATATATATATACTCGTATATAATGTATATATGACGTATAACGTGACGTACAAAAGAACTCGGGCCTCGTCGGCCGAGTAAAGGCGAAATCCTTTGGAAGACTCGCGGCTGCTTGCTCGTCGCTGTTGCCGTCGACTGCCGAGATCGATATATCGCGGTACCGACCGAGTCGCCGTGCCATGCAAACTGCCTTGCTTCCCCCAAGAAAATTCGGCCGGAACGTACGATCCGATCGTCTTCCCCGGGACGTAGGAGGGAAAAATAGGGAAAGCCCGAGAGGAGGTTCGGAGTGCACCTTCCGGCCGATGCCGATGCTCGACGGTGGAGACGCCGAGATCGCGAGATGCGATTCGATTTCCTTAATGTACAATTTATTCCCGCGACCTCGCATTTTCCACATCTTTCTACGCGGCGCTTTCCTTTCCCGACTATTTTCTGCGTTATTTACGACGGTCGAATGGTCTTACGGGGAATTTTTCTTTCGGTCTTGAAATCCCGCGGGAGGGTCGTTTCGCGATTTTTTCCTTTCTTTAGGGGCAATCGCAGAGAGGCAAAAATATTTGTGAATCGCGTCGACGCATCTCGCGAGCGGGCCCACGATGCATGTGCTGGCTTGTTCATTTCGTACGCCTTGCTTGTTTCTCACCCTCGAGATTTAGCGAGTTGTCTGCAATTAGTCGCGCAAAATGACACGAATCGCTCATCCGCGGACTTGCGTTCAGGGTGGAACTCGATTGCGCGAATTTACGACGATCGGCTCCATTGATTCGTGCCACCGCCGAGACCGGCAGCCGAAAAGCGATTGCACGACCTCGGAAGAGAATGGTCCGAATTGTAATTATTTTTTCACGCGATCCCAAATACAGGAAGTATTGATTTTAGGCCGCACTTCCGCATATAGGTACACGATCGTTACATAACGCAAAGGAAATTACGCAAGACCCATCGTGAACGCAAGCCCGTTTCATCCATTCTTGCAGTCGTTCATCTTGACGATCTTGCACCGCCCCGATTTGCACGATTTCGCGTTCCCGACGATGGAGAAAAAGTTCCCTAGCCTTCGAGATTTTTAGACAATTTTCAATACTCCTGGATATCGTGTAAATGATTAGCGATCGTAGGATTTTTCGTAGACGAGCGGACCAAATGATATTCTTGCAACGCGGAGGAAAAAAGAAAAATAATAGTTTACAGTGACACTGGGAAATCCTCCTATTTTTAGCACGGGCTTAGAGGAATATCCTTGAGATGTGAATATCAACGGTCTCGCATTGTTCCACCGAGATCTCGTCCCCGTCTTCAAAGCCACCCTCTTCAGCGATTTCGCGAAGGTGTATTGGAAAAGGCGGGCTTTCTTTTCCGAGGGTGCCCACAACGAAAAGTCTGTCGGACCGAGATACGGAGGCTTTAGTGGCCAAATTGCTGAAGAAGTCCCTCTCGAAGACGCGGAACGAGATTTCGGTGGAACAATGCGGGACCGTTATAAATTCATCTCCGAGATGTATTCGTGCATAGGATGCGGCGAAATGAGGGCATTCTTTTTTCCGTCCGCTTTATTTGCACCTTCGCGTGCACGAGTTCGAGGAACTGGCTCGTTAAATAACCCTACGGTAATAATCGCGGTAATGAGGCGAAGAGTAACCGAAGGGGCCGTGACGAAGTAGCCTGAAATCAAAATCCCGTGTCCGAACTTTTTCGATCGGCTACCTTAGGCTAACGCGAATCAGTTACCAGGCGACTGGTTTCTACTTTTAGTCCATCGCGATGTGAATTTTTTTTTTTCGCGTCGTCGAGAAAAATTAGGGAATTTTAGAGCGGGTATACATTTTTTTTTTAACATTCGTGGCTTCAGCTTTCCCAGCCTCCCTGCATCCGTCGCAAAGATTGCGTCGCTTCTGCATCGTTTGCACTTGCCTTGGCTCTGTGCGCGACTGTCAACGAGATACGTCATCGGTCCATAATAAGGGCCGTTTCCACCTTCGAGGTTAACGTCAACCCCTTCCGGAGGAGGGTATCGGATTTTTTTAAGATCGTCGCGATGACGAGACTCTTGCCCGTATCTGTCACCGAAGGTCTATTCTATTATAGACCTCGCACTTAAGGAGATCCCGGTTGACCTACTAAAGTGCGGCGCTCGATAATAAATCTGCTGCAAATTAAAAAATTCACGCCTCGTCGATATCCGCGTACAGCCCGTACAAGACCGTTGGAATTTTTCTGCTACCTCTTTCTTATTCATTTCTTATAATCGTGAACGGTGCGATCGTTAAAAAAATTCTTCGACGAATAACTATCGGGAAAAATCGAGAGCAGGGTCTAACGAGAGATTTTTCAGATTCATGGACAATTTGTACGACAAAAGATCGATGCGACATCGAGACGATGAGAATTTCGCAGGTGGAAACGACTCCGTGTCACGATCGCTCGGCTGTCACTATTAGCTTTAATTAGAGGATAGTTATCGGAGGTAGATTAACGTCCTTACGAGAACGGTGTCGCGGGGAACCTCGGGTCCTTGGGTCGCGACATATTTCACGAGGGGAAAGTCTCGATTTTCCGGCTTCGATACTAATTTCCCGAACCCACTGGAGTTCCCATCGAACCATTCCGTAATGGACCCGAGCCTTCCCTCGAGCGTCTCAATTATTCCGTCGAGGCCGGAGGTGGCGAGAAACCTGCTCGGGGATTTATGAGAACCGTGATCCGAGGAAACGTAATTCCTCCGAGACGTACGTCTTTCGGCAACTCCAAAACGCGCCTTGCGAGAGGAGAAACGAGGAAGACCGAAAGGAAGGAAAAAGCACGTTCGGTTATCTAGTCGTCTAATTATTTTTTACGGTTATTTTAATTCTTGGAAGAGTCGCGGGGCTTGGAGCGAATGTTAAATGCACTTGAATTTCAGGTGTCGATAATTCCCCTGGCACATTTCACGTCACCTTAAGGTGACGGCCCTGCGGATGTGCTCGATACGTTTACGTTTGGATGTAAAATTCGCATTCAAATTATTATTAAACCTTCCCGAAAATGATCTGCAACAATCGAGTACGGAACACATCCGTGACTCGGTCGGGACGTGACGTGCTTTGTGTCACTTTAACGAGACGATCCTGGTTGCTCGAAGCATTAGTGGCAGAAAGAAAAGGAAGATTAAAATTCCGGGGTCGACGTTGCTCGACATTCGGAAATAATATCCCAGAAGGTCGGTGGGATTTTAATTGATCGAGCGCGATTTTGGAAAACGCGGCGGTCGGGGCCTTCGACGGGAGAGTCATGAAAATTTCGAGGTACGTCATCAAATGCGCATAAATTTAAACCGATCCGCTGACGCTTTTAACTCGCTGCCAGGATTCGCATCGTCGCAAAAACGTAACGACGCCGCTAGGTAAAAGTTGACGTTTTCACTAAAGGACGGCGATTTCCGTTTCAGGACCCACCTTGGAGCCGCCATTGCCAAGACGAAAGAAATGTCCGGAGCTTGCCTACAAGACCCACGAATTCATCACTGCAGCTGACGGTAGTGGAATCGATGCGGTCGATTCGAACGTTGTAGCTGACAATGCAAAGGTGAGAAGCACGTCCCGACCTCCTGGTCCGACGTATTTTCATTTCTTCTTTTTTTTTTTTCCCGCCGAGGAAATTAAGGGCACACGCCGCAGAAATAGAAATCCGCGATAGCATTGCCACTCAAGATGAACCAAAAAGATGGAGCGGGCGGCTCCTCGTCGGGTACCCGCGGACGAAGAGAAAAGAGGCACCGCCGGATGGTGTTCGCGTTGCCGAGGGCTTTCGATTCTTCCATTTTCCTCTGCCTTTCCCCGTGAACCGAAAAAGCTTTTAACACTTTTTCCAGCCAGGAAAGAGATCGCGGCGAGGCCAAGTGCCTCGTAGAGGGCACTACTTGGACTTTCGCGTCGCCTTAAGTACCGCAAATGATCGCTTACCAAGAACAATGCATCGCGGACTAAGAAACAGAAATCGAACGAGCAAGAACAACCGAAATACCCTTTCGTATTATTTTCCTTCCTGGGAATTTCGACGATGATCCAACAACGGATGGAATCGTCGTCGGAAGTACCGCGGTACGCGTACGCACCGTACGCGTTCGTAATCCGAGAACAATTATTATACATAGGAGAGATCGGAGACGGTCTTATTCAATTATTCAAAATTATTCATACATACGGTGGAACTAAGTCGACGAGGTCATTTCAAAAGTAATTGACCGTTGGCAGTCACGATGGGAAATTGTGTCCTAGTTGGCACGAAGGGTACAATCGATGTACATTTTCCCTTGCAAGGGTATGCGTGACGTCATTTCGGTTCGACCGATAAAGATGAAGGGTGCGAGATACGGGGTAAACGCGAAAGTAGTCGGTAGCCATGCACTTTCCCTACATCCGCCGTTACCTCCGCATAAATCCATAGTAATACAACTAATGCTTCCTCTGACGGTGTCTCGGTTGAGACTGGACGCACCTCTCCCGGTAATCGTAAAACCTTGAGGAGCATCCCGACACCTTGTTCCACCTCGTACCTACATTTTTTGGTTCAGTGGCGGCAAGAATTATTTACAAATTTTCCAATCGCCGAAAACCGTCGTCTGAAAATCTACGCGGGGTATCGGAAAAATTTTCTCCCCGTCGAGTAGTTAGCGGTCCCGATGTTGGCGAGGCGAGTTACAGCACTCACGTAAAGTTAAGTCCTCGAGATGTTGCACGGTGTGCAGCCTGCCGAGCAAACTTCACGAGTTTGCTTCGGACAGCGGTAAAGTTTGCAGATTAATCCCGTCCACAAAGCTGACGGCTCGGAACGGCAGCGTCAATAGCTTTCCAGAGGATACGGCCAAACGCGGCGATGTCTGAAAAATGCATGAGACCTCCGTTACGTCGGAGCAAATAACGCTAAGACGGTACTTTACCGCTAACTCGTTTTACGCGCGATTCGGACGAGCGAGAATCCAAAATTTCATTCGACGTTAATCCGAATGGCTTTTTTTTTTTTTTTTTTTTTCTAGGAGATCACGGCAACGTCGGCACTGCCACCTAGTCAGCTGAGCAAGGCGATTTCGCGTATCAGTACGGAATACCGTCTGCAATTCGCTTGGCCAAAGAGACCCCAGCTGACCAACGGCGAGGCCGTTCCCGTTGCTCCTGCAGGAGGCCCGGGAGGAACCGCGGGACCCCCCAGGAAATCCCTCAGCATGGGAGCTCTCAAGCAGGGAATGGCCCCCTCGGGACCAGCGCCGGTCCACAAGAAACGACCCGGCGACGTGGACCACAAGCGAGACGGTACGGAGTTTCGAAAAATTGCCGTTAAATTCACTTTTTTTTGTCACGTTTGTCAGCCATTAAAATTGACCGATGTATCGATACTCCGTTTCAGGTGTTCAAGCATCGGAATTGGAGCCGCTGGTTGGAGGAACCGGGACGGACACCATGGATGGAGTCGTCCTGGAAGGTGACGAGCGCGAAGAGGACTTGGATCTGAAAGTAGCCTTTAGGTTAGACGCCTTAAAAATTCACCCGCAGCGACCCCGGTCGAAAAGTCAGGTGCTGCAATCCAAAAGAAACGATCGAGGGATCCAAGTTTTTCTTTTCGAGAAAAACGGAGCGATTGGATTAGGGCAGACAAAACGAACGCGAGCGGAATCGCGATCGCGTCGATGTACCGATTCCCTGGAGTGCAACACCTGACTTTTCGCGTTACCTTAGTTTTCGATGCGCGAATCGCTCGTCCAATCGGGAGGAGAGAGACATAGCCGGCAGCCGGTGTTACGTGAGAGAATAACGGGTGAACCGACGGCCGAGATAAAAATATGTTCCTCTCGACCAGATCCCGAGTGTGAAGGGGCAATCTGACACGTACAATTTAAACCGGCGGGGATTCGACCGGGAGACATTTAAAGTTTAATATCAGGAATTACGCCCGCCGTATTTTTTTTTTTTGCAATCCCGTCCCAACCCGTGGGGTACCATCCGTGACTCGAGAATTGAAAAAGAGTCCGCGTCGTCCTTGGGTGTCGACCGAAGAGCCTGGATACCGATGTCCTCCTAATAGTAAATCGCGTAAAGCGGGTGACGAGTCATCAGCCTCCGCGAATGATTATTTCCAGGGGTAAAAAGTCAGTCGGTAGAACCGTAAGGATTACCGACAGAGACTATTTGAGACCGTTCAAACGGCAGGACGTACCGTTTCCTGCGACAGAAGTGGCCGAACTCAGACGACTTGCCGACGAGTACAAGGTAACTGGTTGTCAAGTAGGATCGTTCCTTCGCGTTGCAAGGTGTTGTTTGGTTGTGTCCCGTGGCTGATTGGTCGCATATGCACGACGACTCGCTGTGCCGTACGTTTCCTTTTCCACGCCATCGAAGAGAAACGCCTCGCGCCGGGCGTTTCTCTTTCCACGCGAGCTACGAAAAGATTCACTTCGAACCTATTCTCCTAACGAAACGATTCGATCGCACAATTTCAACTTGGGTCGTCTACCTTTCGTGTTATTCTTTCTATCGATTGTTTTAAATTGAGCCAAGTACTCGAGACGAGCAATTTGAGATACGCACTTTGGACTGATTTTCCCGGACGTTTTGTGCGTCCCTTTTTGGCATGCTTTCCTTCTCGCATTTCTTGTTGTCGATGGAAGATGTTGTAGCTCGGTGTTAAAAATATTAACGAACGAACTGATTGGTTTTCGTTTGCGCCAGTATCGGGACTGGGGCTGCGGATTGGCAGCCGAAGATGAGGCGTCGTTATGGAAGCGTGTCTCCGGTAACCATGCCCTCGACGCATTGTCCCTTGCCAGGCCAGTACATTACTGCATAATGACTCATAAATCGCCCGCAATCTCAGCGAATCACCCCTCTTGTCCGGTCACGCTAAATCACTGATCGCTATGAAAGGGGGAAAAAAAATATATCGGACGGACTAAAACTTAAAAAATAAATAATAATACAAAATTGAACGTACGATCGGCGGTTCGATATAACCCGGTCACGCAACTTCTCGTATGAAGAATAATTCAGCGTGTTGTTCACATCGATTCCGCAAGTTTCCGTATCCGAGCCGAATGGCATAGAATTCCAAATTTGTTTTATGGTATCGAACGAGAGCTCGATTTCGAAAACTTTGATTACGCAAGTTCTTCAATCCGTTTATTTAATGGGAAAGTCACATGCACCTTCACACGGGTCCCGTCGTGGTCGCCGATTGTCTATTATTTTTCGTCGATCCAGGTATAAATTCTCCAAACTCGTCGAATCCAGAGTACTCGATTTTATTTAGCGGCAACTTCATCGCTTTACGCGGTGCACGAAATCCCGGGAAAGAAAACCTGGATTTTCTCTCCTCGACTTCTCTCAACGTCTGGGCTTCACATTTAATTCATTCCCTGAAGTGGCCGTATTCAATTTAATGCAATGCGTTTAACAGCCATTGTTACGCGCAAACGTATATTTCAAAGGCGTCCGAGCGGTTCAAAATGGGCCCCATTAGCCTCAAGTTTCACATGAAATTGACCTTAATTTTAAGTTCTAACGCCTTTCAACCCCCTCTGTGCGATTTTGCGCGCACAATACGTGCGATCCTCCAAGGTGAATTTAATGTCCATTTACACCCCATCTCTACTTTCGATATGTAATCTTCAATTAGCGGATCCGGGTGAAAGCTTCGAAAAATGATGGGAGAGAATTGGAACGTTCTTGCGAGTAACTGACACGATTGATGTGTACGGTGGTCCATCCGTAAGGAGGGTAAAATTTGTCGGATCGAATTATCGTTAACGTCGTTTGTTCCGGCAGGTCGGTGACGAAGGAGGAGAAAGAAAAGGAGAATACGAGGAAGGTAGCACCAGTGCCTTCGGCGTCGATGCCCCCCGCAGGTCGGCCATCCTCGGTCCAAGCCAGACCGATTCATACGATGACCCAGGAGGAAGTTAAAGCGGTATGTACGTCGAGCGATACCGTCCCATGGAAATTCGAAATTTCGCCGAAGTAACTTCTCCGCGTTGCGAAACCTCGTGTTCACATAATGTCACGTTTCAGGATACCGATAGAGCCATAGCTCGCGCAAGAAAGGATTTCTTGATCCGCCATCACTTGGATCGCACTACAGGAGTCGGTAAATGTTTCGAGCATGCGGAGATTATTTGGATATAAATTTCTTTGAAGAGCGTAAAAGCGACGGTATGCCAAGTTGGGAAAAAATTTGCGTTCGATTATCAGCAGGCGACGGGGCGCTGCTCCCCTCTCCTACGAGAGAGAAGTTGGAGCCAGTCATCCCTCGTAAACGAGAAGAGAGCAAGGAATCTCGAGAGGACTCTCAGCCGCGAACTAAGTCCAGTCCGAAAAATAGTCCTCGAACGGGACGTTCTCAGAGTCTGGGACCCAGCGTGGCGGAGCGCAGATCTCCGAAACGACAGCCCGTGCGCGCCCCGTCCGTCACCAAAGATGCGAAGGTAATTATTCTCCACGATGCCCCGCTCGATAAACCGTTCTTCCAAGGACAAGACACTGAGCGTCCAACCTCCGCCATTGGAGGGCAACTACGAAGAAACGCAACGATAATTCTAGTAATCGATTAAACGGCGAGACTTAACGTTTAGGCGACAATTTCGGTGTACCCGATTAACGAGATCCGTGTTTTTTTCTTTCCACGAAAAAGGACAAGGACAAAGAGCCGAAGGACAAGGAGAAGGAATCCAGGGAGAAGAGCGCCGAGCCCGAGAGGCATCCTCGGCCGAGTAAGTAGAAATCCTCGCATCGGGATCAGGCATCGCTTTCCCAAATCACGTTCGATTCATCGTACTCATCGTATCGTGCCTCAACGGTATAGGAGTTACTTTGCATTTTCGTACATATACTGAATTGACTGGCGCATATACCTACGTATACTTATATCATTGGAACTTGAACTGCTGTCTGCTCGTTTGATCATTGAAGTCGGCCGTAGGTGGTACTCGTTGGAGTACTCGTTCGATATCGAAACTCTGCGATACCCACTGGCCTTGAGAGATCGGTGGTTTCTTTTTTCCTCTCGTCAGACTCGATAACATCGATTCGAATATTAAGATAGAAAAAAAAAAAAATACAGCGAAGAGACGTAGATTATCGGAGAAATTTTATAAATCTTTTTCCACTCTCGAGGCGGTGGGTATTAGGACCCTATACCAACAAGCAGTCGTTAATGTTTAGGCAGATGCATGATAGACATGTCTATTTGTTATCTACCTCTTTGCCTCTGCCTATCTGTCCATCGTGTAGTGTCTAACCGTTTGCTCCTTCTTCCGACTAGAAGATCCGAATGATTTCGGTCTCAGCGCAGACCGAGTCCCCCTAAATTTGGGCAGGATCGTCCAGAGCAATTGGTATCCGTAAAATGGATTTGCATCCACGAAACGGAAGCCCATTTCTAACGAAAGAACCGAGGCGACCAGGAGTTATCTTAAAGCCTTCCGATGCTCGAAGAAAGACCTAGAGCCGTAACGTGGCGATTTCGGCGTTTCGCCGTGGTCTGTCCAAAGAGCCGCGATTTCTTTCTCGTTGTCGAAAGACGGAAAGCTACAAACGAGGTAACACCGTCTGATCCGTAATTTTACTTAAACGGAGAAAACAAACCACGAACGTATCCGTCCACTCGTGGAGTGTGCCATTATAAAAGAACAAAAAAAAAAAGGGCGACGCCTAAAAACGCATAAAAAATCAAGATCTAAACCACCACATGAATACGTAATCCTGCGTCACGGTTTTAAATCCTCGTTCTTCTTCCGTATAGCAAGTTTCCGGGCGGTATCGTTCGCGCCTTTCGTTCCGTTCGCAAGAACTCGACTTCCATTACTCCTTTCCCGGGGCACCGCCCGACGTATCGCGTAGACTTAAACCTAATCTCGTCGGACGTGAACGTCGATTACGATTGCGTTAAATTAGCCGCTTCGCTCCCAGCGAGCGGTCGGGGATCCTCGTCCGGGACGCGAGATGGCGGCTTCGCATTCATCCGTTCTCATCCCTTGGACCGTCGGTCCCTCTCGAATAATTGGCTGGACGATCTGGAAATATAGCGGGTGTTTCAGTCGCGGCTAGCCGTGTCCGGTGGAGCATAAGAGAACAGTCCTCGGTATGTCGGACGAATTCGGCGCCGAGCGAGCCGCCGATCCCGCCGTTACCGCCGCCGCCCTCGGGCCCGGGGCCGACTCCGCTCCACCAGAGGCCCTCGCAAGCGCATGCGCCCGCGCAACCGCAAGCCCACCGGAAATGTACGTCTTACCTCTATCTCTCTCTCTCTCTCTCTTTCTCTCATTCACGCACTCCCTCGCTCGCGTCCAATAGCGGCGCTCCTTTGGACACCCGTCCGGCCGACCGAACCGAAGGTGCCCCTCGAGATCGCGGCGCCGCTGCATTCGGCGCGAGGCAAAGTGTTTCGATCGGTTGCTCCCGTTGCCGAGAATTCATGGAAACGTCGGAAATAGGCCCGTTTCCACGGAGACGAAAAAGCCGTTTTTCATTTTTATCCGCCTTTTTCTCGGACGCCGTCCTCGCTGCGTCGTCTCTGAAATGAAATATTCAACGGAGATCTCGGGCTCCGGATTTAAGACCATGCACGCTCCGGACATTAAGAAAAAATGCAAATAAAGGATTTTTAACCAAAGGTTCATCGGTAAAGTCGGAAATTAATCGAAACACTGTGCCACTCGGAATGTAGCAGGGCGGCAATTAAAAATACAGCTTAACACATTTTGGACGAGAGTTCTGCATTTTAGTTTCGCGTTCCGTATTTTACCCCGGCAACGATTATCCGCCCACAATGTGTTAAGTCGGTCGAAGCGACCTTAAGTCGTTCCTAAAGACGCACTAGTTGATCATTCCCTCCATGTCGCTTTGACATAGAATACTTTGACGTAGATCCGTAGAAGATCCTTAAGTCGCCATTACCAGGGAGTTCAAACGAAGACTCTCTTTGCACCTTCTTTTCTCTCCGAAACTCTCCAGAATTTCGAGTCTCGTTGCCTTCTCTACCATTCGTAGATTTGTAAAATTCGTAAAATGATCGCGTACCTCGGCGACCATTGGCAAAATACGCAGTCCCGTCACAAAAAATATAAGCTATTCGCGAATTCTCGAAAATAGGCCTATCTCTCCCAGGTAGATAAAATACTCCACTCTCCATCGAGAAGGGAAATCTCTGTCGATTTTTCGCGTCGCCGAACTTCACGGTCATCGAACCTTCTCCCTGGCTTAGAACGACGACGTTGAGCTAGTCCGCTGCTTCCCCAACGGGAACGACGCTATGTACTTTAGATGTTGGGACAGTATTTGCTTCGTCAAGTGCGTCAATTCGTCGTACAAGCGAGAATCCGCCCCGACGTGAACTAATTCGACCTAAAAATCAAAGAAAGGCATCGGACAATTTTTTGAACGTTCGACCCGGAAGGTAAATGGAGGGTAAAATACATTTGTACGAAAGATACATAACCGTGTTCAATTGACTCATCGAGTTCGGGAACGAACCTCCCGGCTGTCGTTGAAATTTGAGAGGCGCCCACCTCGTCCGTACTTGGGGGAATATCTCCATAATTGGGCCAATTTTCCCGACGGTTAAACGGTTATCGCTTGCCCCAAGTGCCACCTGGCAGTCGACGAGCGTCGAACTCCCAACGTCGGAACACGGAAATAAATCCAACTCCACCTTCCGAAATTATTTAACGTCCCTCCCCACCTTGCTCAACTTTTTACGCAATAAGGATTTCGCTCGGGCGACGTAGGAGCCAAGTTCCATCGGGTCCAAACCCACGTCCGCTGGAACGGATCCTCTTTGCGAGGGGGCCACCGGAAAAAAAAAAAGTCGAGAACGATCTCGAAGAAAACCAACCGAATCGATCCACCGCTGTCGCGAATCTTATCGGAGCTCTCTAAAAATCGCGATCGAATAGAAACGCATCGGGTTCCGAGCGCCGTTAAAATTCCGCAAAGAGACCCGCCGTTAAAATTCCGCAAAAAGACCCGCCGAGCGGGAATCGACCCTCGATCCGCGAGAAACCGCGCCAAGCCGAAGGAGGGACGCGGCTGACTGTATTTCTACGATGTGTTCTAGCCTCCCTCGCAACCACCGCTCCCCCCCATCGCCCTCTTCACCACGTCAAACCCGTAACCACCGTAAAAGCCCCGGTTAGGCATTCGGTCCACGCGACCGCCCACCACCCACCACCCACCACCTCGGCTGTCACCTCGGCTGTCACCTCGGCCGTCACCTCGGCCGCCACCTCGGCCGTCAGCGCCGCCAGCGCGGCCAAGCCGGAGCCAAGCGCTCAGGGTCGGCCCGAATTTATCGAAAGCGCAGCTGCAGCTGCGACTGCCGCCGCAACCGCAACCGCGACCGCAACCGCCCCATCCAAATCATCCTCCGAAACTCGAAACGCGATTCGGGATAACGCCGAAGCTAGTAAGTAGCACGCCGGTGAAAGGCCCGGCCGGAACCCGCTTACTGTCGCTCTGTTGTCTTTTGACTTTACACCCTCTACTTCTCTCTCTCCCTCTGTCCGATCCTAAGCCTCTCGACCGTGTCTCCTCCCGCCTACACCCACGCGGCACCCGAAAGCTGCCTTCGACGCGGCGCATCGTGGGCCAGGCTTCGGCCCGAGTCGACTCGAAACCCCGGACTTTACCCTGGCGGTAACCCTGGCCATCGAAAACCGCGGCTTACCTCCCCGGAACGACGACGCGGTCGTTCGTCGCGAGTTAAAAATCTAAAGCAAGCACGGAGGATCCTCGTGCTGCGTGGGTGCCCTACGGGCGAAGCTAGACACGGACGCGATTTATAATTGTATCAATTTCTCCCGTCGTATCCTCTGTTGTATATCTTTGGTGTTTAAACCTATCTATTATCGACCATCGAGCCCGAAATCCCACATTTTTTTTTAGCACAAACTGCTACCTCCTTTTACGTCGCACCAAGGAAAGCGGGGTACAGTTGGTTCCTATTTGTTGCAAATTCGCCGGTGATCCGCCCCCGAAAGGAAATTGATCGTAAAATAATTGAAGGCAAACTCCTGAGAGGTACGATAAGGATCGGCGACTCTTCCTTATCGGGGCGCTCGGGGAGCCGCGCATCTCCCCCGAGGGTCTCGAGCAATTTCCGAGACCGCTATCCGTGGAAGAACACCGATCCTCCCTGACGGTGACTCGGCCGAGTCGCTCGTCGAAGTCGAGCGATCGAGCGGAAGTCCTCAACGGCGAGGACCGACCTGTCTCTCGATAGAGCCCGTCAACGGAGCGTAACGATCGACGGAAAACTGGAACCTGCCTTTTCGTCCCCATCGATGGAAACCCGGGAAACGAGCCGTCCCGAAACGTCGGGACAACTTCTGCGTCGTGTTCCGGCACCGGCACTCGGACCCTTCCGTCAAAGAGGCCTACCCTGACCACCGGTCAGCGGACTTTCCCGACAGGGACAACCGAAACTTTAAGCCGTCCATTATGCATGAAGGAAAGTCACCCCCGAGAGGCTTGCCCGTTCTCCCAGGCTGCACTCCAACGTCATGTATATTAACGACCTTTGAATTACTCCTTCTCGGTGCATCCTCGCCCGACGAGCCAACAGCCGCTTCGTCGGGGAATCTCGAAACGAGACGAGGAGGACCCCGTTCGTCCTTCTCGATCGATCTTGGATTGCAGCCTCTCTTTCTCTACTTTACCGCGTTCTCCCTCGTCTTCCTTCTCAGCCATTGAACGTCAGTGTTATTTACGATGTCAAGTATTTGATGTGCTGTTGCGTACCGTACCGAGTGGCTTTACGTTGTATTTGTAATTGCAAGGAGTAGTAAGTATTGGATACCGCACCCCATTACCCGGGCAAGGAGCCATGTTTTTTCGTGTTTAATGTCATAACGGTATCTTGCAACCGTTCCTTATCTCGTGTCCGTGAGTACGCTGTTGTACCTTTCGAGGCATCGAAGTCCATTCGACGTCGTCGGAGAGGGGAACGTCCTCTTCTGCGCCCAATGGCAAGTGCATCGATCGCGACGACTCTTCCGCCTTTCTTTCTCGGCATCGAGAGGATTAAACGCGCCGATATCCGATCCACGGTCGTTTTCGCTGATCGTTCTTCCTGCTGATGACAAAGGAACGTGCCAATTAATTTACATTCGAGACCAAATTGGCATCATTTTCCGAATTTCATACAAGAAGCCGGGTCGACATCGGTCGGTAATTTCGACAAGCTAAATTATGTACGATTTCTTTTTAACTCGAGTAAGTCGATCCTTCTCTCGGTTGTCATAAATTGGATAAGATGTCATTCCGTCATTGAGCGCAGAATTCGGAGGATCGGTCCAGGGCTTCGACCGACTACTCTCTAAGCCGAACGCGTTGGGAATTTCAGTGACGGCGGAGCCGCAGATAAACGGAGACACGACGGGTGGCGACTCGAGCGTGGCGTCGACTCCGCCGTCGCAGACGGCGACGGCGATCCCAGGGTCAACGGGCGTCGCCACGGCCGCCAGTCCTTGGGTGGACGACGAGCCCGTGGTGAAGAGTCCTCCGGAACCGACGCGCGTCAAGTCGCCGGAGCAGATGATCATGCGCTCCCCGGAGCCCGTCAACTGGACCGTCCCGCTGGACACCGGAAAGACGTTCACCGTCACTCAGAACGTCAGGGAGGGTAAGGTCGAGCCCGAGGTGAAAAAAGTGCCACCTGCCCTTTAAATTCTCCAGACCCCCGGAAACCGAGATCGACCACGGTTCGACATTGGCAAATCGTTTCCGGCGTAATCGAATCTCGAAATGGGGATTTCGGGGCAAGGGGTCCCCCGGTTGAGAGCCCGACGGTCGATCTCGGGGTCGCACCTTCCGTACTTTCCGTTACCGACGAGGGCCCGCCGTTGATTTCGGAGCAGAACCTCTGACGCGACCGCATAGCGAGGCGAAGACGTGGGCGCCGTCCGGGGTGCCATCGGCGCCGCAGTCCGCGCCTCCGGAGCTGGCGGCACAACACAAGTCGCAACACTCGCAGCACTCGGGTTATAAGTCGCCGGAGAGCGAGAGCATCTCGCTGGGCAGCTTCAGCGGCCTCAACGGGCACAAAGACTTGGACTCGGAGAGGGACAGCCCGCTGCCGACGAACGTCCAGGGCACTCCGACCCCCACGCGAAGCGACAAGGTGAGGGGAGTCCTTCGCTTCGAAAGTAATCCCGGGGTCATCCCCATCGTTTAACCGGCGTTTCGTCCGCAGGCCCTGACCGAGACCGCCGAGGAGACGAAGGAGCAGAGCCTGGACCCGGCGATAAAGCCAGTGGCCGGGACGAATCTGAGATGCCTCGAGGACCCCGTCTTCGAGTTCGACAAGAAGAGAGAAACGGTCCTCCCCCCCGAGGCGGGCGTGGACGCCGGGCAGGGCGCGGCAGGGGCCTCTCCCGGGGGCGTCGGGGGCACCACCGCCGGCGGCTACCACGTCCTGGAGGCGCCCTCGGTGGGGCCCGGGTCCGGGCCCCGGTCCGCCGCGAGCGACGTCCTCGAGAAGGCTCGCAATCGCTTCGACAAGTTCTGGGGCAAGGGGGGCAGCGAGAATTAGGTAGGATAGGCTAAACCCGTCTAACCCGTCGAGGTTAAGTTCACTTGCGTGTTATCCGAGCTGCTTGTCCCGGTAAAGTGTGACGCCTAGTCGCGTTTCGAATCGCTGCGTCGCTGAAACGGCTTAGTAGAAATCCGAAAGATCCGACCGAACGCGGTGATCGATACTAGCCACGCGGAGGTTCGACGATAACCGTTCTTTTGGAGTAAACGGAAGATCAGGGCTGACGACGGGGACCGACTGGGTCCGCGGATCCAACGGAAAGGCGAGCGGGGATTGGCGTCCGGTCGGGGCTCCCCGGCTCCCCCGGACGCCGTCTTGCCGCGCGGCGAGACCGGTGCACTACCGATTGTCCCATTAATTAAATAATCGATTGTTATACATCAATTTCTTAGGATATTCAAATGATCGGTCCGCGAGGATCGTCGAGAGGCCCCGCCGGGGTTTTCCGACGACGATCGAGACGAGGGTGGCCCGCCGTTGCGTCCGCGTTTCGCGGACGGTGGATTCCCGTGTAACGAGGTGGACGAACTCGCGTTACGGAATTTTTCTCGTATACCGCGCATAATGCGTTTCGTTATTCGTCGCGTTGGAGGAATTCGCGTTATTCGGGAGTCCCCCGTGTACGTCCATCGCGGGACGCGGCTGGCTTCACTTCGGAACGCCCTCTCGTCGACGCTCCTTAGGGGCACCGCGAGCCGGGACGCGTAAATTATTCGTAGCAGGCCGTAGTCTTTTTCATACGAGTTTCCGACCTCGAGCCGAACTTTCCTTCGGCCAATCGGAATTTTACCGAAGCTAGGGCGAGGCTCCTCGAGCCCCTCGCGAAGATCGCGCGTCGGTCGAGGCGACCTCGCTTCGACGCCGACTCTCGAGGCGCGAAAATTCGAGACGATCGCGACGTACCGACGACGAGGCATCGGGACGCCAAAGAACGACCGCGCTCTTCCTGCCGACGCTGGACTTTGCGTTCCGCCTGGTTTAATTGCGTTCGCCGTTCCGTTGCGTAACTTCATCCGACGCAACCATCCGACTTCGATGCGACGAGAAAGTAGTCTTCTCCTAGAGCGAGAATCATTTCCAGAATAAATTGCACGCCGCGTCGACGCTGCTTCGCGCTCGTTAGGAGTTCGCGACTCTCGGTAGAGGTGCTCGACTCGAACGACTCGGATAGGAGAGATCTCGTTTCCATTTGTCCACGCAGAATCGAATTGGACCTCCTTGCCCTCGTTGTCGAACACCTGTAAACAGTGCTGGACACCGTTGAACGAAAGTTCCAAGAGAGTCGCGGCTCAGAGTTTTCGAACGCTTCTCCTCCGTGTAAACGCTTAATTTAACGCCGCGAGGAATCGGAGACAGTCCGTTTTCGCGGACGCCGACCGATCGACGACGTACGTTAATCCTCGGATAATCCAGATTCTTAAAATCACTGGACTAAGAGTTCATCGGTTCTACCAAATATCGATGCGCTTCATGTAGAAAGAGATACAGGCGAAGGATTCAATTCTATCAAGAAATATCCAATTCGGACCGTTCGTTAAATTTATTTATTCTGGTCGGTGAAGGCGTCGGACTGTCTCGATCTCTCGCAAGTCTTTCGGGGCAACGTTACATGGGAAAAAAAGGGGCTTTTCACCCTCAAACGCGAATGACGCGTACACGCTCCATCCAGCTCCACGTCCAACGTCCAAAATCAGCCGATCGTAGGGAAAGCTTAGACTGAAATTCGGCGAGAGTCGATATGCCGAGAACGCGAGACGATTCGGCTAAGAAATTGCCACCAGAGGCCAGTCGTTTTCAACCGTTCGCCGAACGCACGTCAAAGCACCGACTCGTATTGGGAAAGATGAGTGGCAACGACCCGACCTTTCTTCGTTTTTATAAAACTTACACCCTTACCTCTCTCTCTTCGAATTATGCCGCGCTCACATCGCTCGGGCCGACCGATTAATTTTTTTTCTTAACGCCCTGAAATTATGGCCACGGTGAGAACTAGAAAATAAAATCCAGCAGAGTATCGAGCTCTTCGGTAACGGAAGAGTACGATAAATCTTGGAATCCAGCTATACGATTTTCCTATTATTCAAATCTGAGGAAATTAAGCGGCTCGTACAGTACGAAGAAATTGATCGACGTTGCAGATTTTTTTATCTTGCAATGTAGAAACGTTGCAATTACTTTGCCTCGACGTTGCGAGGTCTCGCAAAATGAGGCTGTAGTAGGGTGGGGCGTTTGATATATATATTTCTACGATACACGTGTAGCAATATTTCTACTATATATTTATATATATACATAATTTTTTAAGTATTATTGATACGCGGTTGGGGAAATAAGTCGACCGGATCACTCATCGAGACGCGATCGGCCATCCGTTTACGCGCAACAAAATTCTTTGAGATAGCACGATTAAAGATTCTATTAAGAGTTACCCCACGACTTATCTCATAGAGGTCGATATTTTTTACGAGGCAACGTTAGAGTTCAACTTCCCGGCGACGTTTCGAAAATATTTTAGATATCTTTCGCGGTGCAAGATCGATATACCTTGGAACTACTGCTTGCATAATGCGAGATTATATTTGCAACGTATCACGTGTACTGTACGGGGCGCTATAAGTCATATTTCGTTCACCCGCGAGTGAACTGGGAGTTACTTAAAATCGCTAATACTTTCCAACGGGCATTTTTATTTAATATCGTGCGTCAATAACCGTTCGACCCGAATGGTGTGACGCGGAAACCTCGAACTCGACTCGTCTGTCCGCGTACACGATTTTTGGAGGCATCTCGCAAGCTTACACTGCCCGTCCGAATTTAGAAAAGCTGACGCGTCCTGTGATTTCCAGCAAAATATTTACTAAGTAAGTTGAACGTTAAAACCACCCAACATACCGGACCACTGAAACCCCAGGGAGGCAGCGGTGAGATAGTCAAGGGACATTTTCATAAAAGATAAACGGAAAAAAGATCCCCTTAGGTTACGCACACTCGCGCCGTCTCTTCTTATCCGGCTAGGGACGAGTTAAATTCCCTCTTCGACCCGAGGGATCGAAGCTCATGCCAAAGCTTGTAGATCGTAAGTCGGATCGTCGTTAAAGGCCGCAGCACGGAGAAAAGGGAACGAAGAATGATTCCCGGCAACGTTCTTTAATTCGCGTTACTTCGCTCTTTAAAAAAAGAGTAGACGATCGGTTCTTTCAACGTTTCCCCTCTTCGTGCCTCGGTTTTTACGATGTCGAAGAAAGGTCGATGCTTCGCTCCGTTACCGTGAAGGTTAATCTAAATTTAAGAAGAAAAGCGACGCATCATGCTGGACTAGTACCACGCGCCATCTTTACGGCGAAGCCGATCGGATGTTAATTTGATGTTAAAAAAAAAACGGTCGACGCATCACGACGAAGGGATATTCGTTAGCAATCGTCTCCTAAATGCGCTGGCTGTGTTGTGCTTACGGACCCGCTTTAGCGAATCGACACGTCTACGGAAACTTCTAAGTCTCTCGAAATTCCACCATTCGCGACAGGGTTTGCTCGGAAGGCAGCTTAATTCGTCGGTCGAGCGATCGAGTTCTAAGTTCGATTGATTTGGCAGGACTGCTTTGCATCGGTGCCACTTTCGAATGACGCGACCGAGCTCTGTGTCCATATACGAATTGAAATAGCGAGTCATAGATACGAGGGTACGTGAATGAATTTCCTAGGATTAATCGAGTACGTGGATTAGCATACACCGATGCAACAAAGTCAGGTCGAATTCGTTATTAAGTCACGCCCTGGTCAGGCAGTCACGGGCAACATGCCAGATAAATAATTTAAGTCCAATGGTAACGTCAAACCTCGTTCGCAGCACAGCTACGGTTTTTTTAGGAACATCCCCGATCCTGGGTTAAACCAAAGTCCTCAACGAGAAGTATCGACAATCGTTAGCCGAATCACGAATGATCATTTAAGAGCGCTCGAATGTCCGCACCCCTGAAAACTGTTAAAAGTTTGCCTCCTTTTCCCGAAAGAAAAAGAAAGATGGCGGGAGGTTATTCGCTAGCGGCTGTCGAGCCTTCCAAGGAAACGCGACGTCCGATTGTCCGACCTCGATGAAACGTGAAGTAATAAAATTCCGATCGCACTCGAATTGACTGATTTTCAAAAAGCGGCTAGGTCGCTTGCGTTAGTTGCGGTTATTACGAGGGGACAAAGAGAGAGGGGGGGGAGGGGGGCTATATATTTTTAGTAGAGTGCCCGGGTAACGGAGAATACTTAGGTGATGTCCAGGTTCAAAATAGGACGAATTATTCAAAATCGAAATGTCGACTAAGAACCGTGAACGGCAGAAACCGACGCTAGGCGCCGAGAAGAGTGTCGGTCCTCGTTGGAATCATCGCGGAAAGCAAATGCGTTGCCGCGAGAGGGGGAGGAAAATAAAAAGAAGTTTCAACGAAGGCGGTCATTTTTCTCGCAAGCTCTCGCGCGGTGAGACAATCCACGCGGGCCGAAGGACGATTTCCGAGGCAAAGATTTCGAGTCAGGTACGACAGGTCGAGAGGTTAAAATTTTTTGGAAATTTCTATTCGATAGCTTGCCACCCATTGAGAGCGTTCTCCGAGTTTTCGCTGAATCTGCCGCGCCAGAGGGCTCGGCCAATCAGATCGCTCGGCGTAATCGGCCGAGGAGAATTCAGCAAATAATCGTCCCCGTTTGAATCCGCCACTCGAGACGGAGGCTGCCCGGGATTTCGTTTGCGTTCCCGCCTTAGTCTCTACGCCTACTATAAATAGATAGACCATATTATATTATGATATGACAATTATATACAAAATATATATATATATATTATATATAATATATTACCAATGAATTCGGGTGGGACTGGAGGGTTGGGGGGATTATGCAAGGTAGGAGCCAGGGGGAGAGAACAACTGTTTTGTCAAAATACGAGAAAAGTAGAGAACGGCATGTCGGGCCGGCGTCATTTTGCCGAACGCGGGACGTTTTCTCTTCCTGGAGAGTGAAAATTCTTCGCTTCGCGCCGGATAGAATTTTTTGTTTTTTTTTTTTTTTAACTACCAGCAGTATCCGAAAGTAAGTCGAACGACCCTTGCTCGATAGTTCATCTTCGGGCGGGATCGAAGTAAAGCGTAAGAATGACGCCGGTCCGCAAGGGGAGCGGCGGATTCCGAATTCCTGTCAGGAAACAACGAATTCCGAATTCGTCGCGAGGGATCCGCGACGCGGATCGCAGGGTACAACGAACGCGAGACGATGTACTGTAGTACCGTTAAGTTAACGAATATATAAGTGAAGTTCCTTCTTTGCGAGCGAGCGTGTATATGTGCGTGTGTTTGTGTAATTGACGCGACTCTTGCGTCCCAGAGAATCGTCTCTGGGAATATGTCGATCGATCGATTTCTGGCCAGCCCGCTGTAACGTCGTTTCCCCAGATTCCATTTTGCGCATAATTCGTTGGACATTCCACGTTGACTTGATATCTCGACCATCGAGAACCCCGAGGATACAGTTCGCGACGAAAGAGCAAATTTGGGCGCGATTACTGCCATTGCATGTACTCGAGCGAAACTCCATCGGGTTCCGAAGATGTCCTTTTAAAGACACATCGACGGTACCTTCGTCTTCGGACAGAAGTCGGGAGAAGCGGTCCAAATTCGATAAGGGCTTGATTTTTAAGATACGCGATTTCAGTTTCCTTCGATAACGAAGCCGAGACTTCGCGGCATAAAGAGCCAACTTTATTTCTAGGGCACGAGAGATCTTTCTCATATTTTGCAAAACAGTCTCCGGTGGACGAGAAGCGCTAACGAATTTGCACGGTCCGCGAGATTCGCGAGATTCGCGAGGAGGTCGTACCCCGCGGGAGGTGCGATAAAATGTCGAGAGGTGTCTTTCCTTTTTGCCTGCGCCATGAATTTAGGGACGGAAGTCCGCGACGTACCGTATTACCACGAGGACGTACGGATCGAGGGATTCGTTAAGAGATACCGAATTAATTGCCTTGATTTCTGCGTATCGCCGACGCCACCGAATCGTTCGACCAGGCCGAGAGATTCCCGGAGTCCCTCCGGGAGGAGCTAACTTTAAACATTCCATTGTATCGCAAGCGTTAGGGTTTCTTCGGTTCCTCGACTTGTGTTCGCACCTTGGCCGAGAGACGTTCGTCCCACCGACTGATTTAACCCCTTATGCCTTCACGTTTAATTCGACGAAACGGACCCCAAGAGGTCCGTTCCACCCGAAGGAATCTTTTTCCATTTCTTTTAACGACGCCAAATGCGCGTTTAACGTCCTAAATTAATAGTAACCGAACTCTGTAACTCCGATTCCGAATCGACAAAATGGCGGTCTTTCCGATACACGATATCTCCAGGGCGGGCTGCACTTCTGGATTTCTGCCCTGTTGTCGTTAGCGAGAAGTTTTTGAAAAAGAGCCTTCGCGCGTCCGAAATTTCGAACGAAGGACCATCGATTAAGGGGTTAAGTGTAATCGGCCGACGATCGTTCTTGAGATTTAACTTTATCGTTTACTCTAGGGAGCGAAAGCACCTCGTAGCACCGCGGCGTTATTACACGTTTCTTCTCGTTTGTACTTGTCCGTTCGCATTGTGGAAGACGATCATTTATTACACTATTGAAGATTATTATGGCTATATATATTATATAAATATATATTATATATTACTAGAAATTGAAATACTCGTAATAAAGACACGCCGACGCTTCCTGTGATATCCGGCATTTCAATCCTCCGTCCTCCCTACGTTCATGCGAATTACGACCGACTTTGGGAAATCACCGAAAAGCAAAATCATCGCATCGATCGGACTTCTTTTTCCGCTCGGGAAAGAAAGGATTCGATGTGCGAGTACGTTTCAATGCGACAAAAAATTATTTATTCCACCTTTCCGGACATTGCTGATATTTCTCACTCCAGGAATGTATTAATCAGTGCATAATACGACACCGCGGATTTGATGATCTATCGAGAAAACGTGGAATTCTCGTTATGCATGTATGGGGCTGATCTTTTAAAACCTGGTTATGTTAATGTATTATAAGTTAATGGAAATAATGCTCATACCATAGTGAATTGTTCTAGACCAGCTGTGAAACACTTTCCTCCAATTAAATAACACGGCTTCGTGGCACGTATCATGATCGTTAACAAAGACTTTCGACATCTTTCGGATAAGTCATCGTCCCATAAAGATCCATTCCAACAAGCGGAAACGATTAGGTGGCTCTAGACGATTATTGGAGTTTATCGTTACGAATATTAATGGTTGAAACTAAAAAATAATCTGGCCCAGCACTAGATGGATCTATCTATTTCAATATTTAAAAGATTGTTAAATTACCTGATTAGTTAACATGGTGCCAAATGTGCAATACATGAACATGTGAAGGAGCACGAACGAGAAGTAGAATATGAACGTAAAGAAACTAAGAATACTGTCAGCGCTCGACTGCAAAATTAATGTGCATATTAAAATCCATAACACGATAGAAATTTTTACACGTCAAATTGTACAGTTAGACGCAATGCAATTTTCTACCAAAAGTATTCACAGCAATTTTAATTGTCTGCTTACCATCTTCATTTGAAACGTAACTAAGGCGATTAAGGTGGCACTGGACAGAAATTCTATAAATAATATACTACCGAATAGCGATTGCAAATCTTCAACGTATCTGCAAGAACAAATGTAATTCACACATTTCGTCCCCTGATAAAATACCGCAAATAAAAAAAAAAGCCAAACACAAAACGTGCACCAGAATATAAATGCATCACCTTAAAATATTATTATGGTGTTTTGTAAATTCTGTGATCATAGAATAAATCGCATCGTTCGATACAGATTTTTTCAGTTTGATGTCACTCTTGAAATTGGACATCTCAAGTTGCAATATCTAAATATAGGATTCGTGATGTTTTAAAAAACTATCGTGAAAGGTGACTCCCTTTATAATTTTTTTTTTCCAATCACTTTACGTACCTTGAATTGAATACACGTATGGGCTACAAATGTACAATATATTGCATCAAAACCAACGATAATATGACAGGCGTATAACGCTCCCACACTGTGTATAAAATACGTAATTTCGTAATACTCATAACTCCAAGGATACCGCGCAGGTGTTGGAAATATTTTGGTAGATCCGTTCTCTCCACCGTTTACACCTGTGCCCAATATTTTATTGACCATTGGGGTCACAATGTAATTAACCGTCGTTAGCAAAATAAATATGTAATAAAAGAAAATCATTGTGTTACAAAACTTCGCGGTGCCGATCATGTCGGAACGATTTCGAGGCGATTTCCAAGATTCCTGCCACTTTCTTAAAAATTCGATCAAATATCGATCCAAGAGAGATCTTCTAAAACATTAAAATGTGCATTAATAAATACCGCGTCGTTCAATTCTGCTTGGCAGTACAACATACACTTAAGCTTCTGTGATAAAATAAAGTTGAATAAAAACGAACGGTATGTGCTCCAAATATTTTGAAACCATAAATCATGCCGATATAAAGCTTACTTGTTAATAAGTATTGCCATTTTAATTTCACTGAGTAATTGGCTAATGATCACAGTAGCTGAGTGTAGAAGTTTTTGCAGAGTTCCATCGGCAGTTTTTAACATCAAGCAGTGCTCCACAAAGCCCATGAAACCCCCATAGGCGAGGATAATGATCATTATATTTGGAATGTGTGGTAACCATCGTCGAGGCGCTTTTGAGGTGTAAGGTTCAAATCCAAGAATTCGTAAAATCAAGTTATTATATCTCAACAATCTCATATATTCTATCAAGCTTTCTTCGTTGACGCGATTTGAAACTCTCGCCTCTTGATTATGATCCATATTTTTACGGTGTTTTTTCAAACTTATTCTATTCGAGTTTCTACATATTCTCGCGAGAAGCTCTGAACGTTCTTGGAGTACTTATTTGCAACTATCCGAGAGTCTCTTCGAGAACAGAACCGAGACCCAGGTTGCGGTCGAAGAATAATTTATAAAACTACTTAATCGGCACAATTAACGAGTTATAGGGAAATCCGGATTTATAGACGTTTTAGCATTTATGTTCGGTCGTATTCTTCTGAGATTCTAGACAATTGCATCAATTACCGAGCATCATAAAAAAATTGTGTGCATTGATTCTAGCAATTTTTCCTTTACTGTAGGATGAAACTTTTCTCTAGAACTAAACATGGCTTCATATGAATATTGTAGGAACTCAAAGACTCCGATGTCCAATTTTATATTTAACAAGCGAAAGAAACGAATGCAAGAGGGTGATATCTCTTGCTAAGAATGTGCATTTGCGCTACGTTGAAATAACATACGGCACATGTTATTCCCTGTAAAACTGGTATATTAGTAAACAGGTCCATCATCCAAATTGTCATCATCATCCTCGTAACCTTCTCCGTTATCAAAATAATTGTTAACATAATCCGTTCCATCGTCCATTTCTTCGTCGGCGTCTTCTTCCTCGTCTTCAACATTTTCATCCACATCCTTATCTTCATTTTCTCCTTCGACCTTTGCATCTTCGTCTGCATCACCTGGTTGCATGTTCTCTTTTTTCTCAAGTTCTTGTAACTTAGTCTCAACGTCCACTTCCTTCTTCGTCGCGACGGTATCCGTTACGTCTTGATTTTTGCGTTTTCTAGATGTTGGTTTTAATTCGGATGGCATCCTGGACCAATCGTACCTGGCTTCATACCCTGTCTTATCCGTAATCATATCCTGATAGCGATCCGAATACCGTTCAATGTCTTTCTTTAAAACAATTGGAAGAACGTTATTCGATGATTCTCTCATAAACTCGGCAAAGTCTCTTTTCAACTCCAACAAATAATTCATCTCATTGGTGAAAGAGAAAGGAACCGGTTTATAATCTAGTGGAGGATATTTTGGAGGAGGTTGTAAAACAGGTGGAGGGAGCGCCTCACCCTTGCCGAAACCAAGCTGTTCCGTACTTATGGACATCGAGGGTTTACCTCGCCCTCTACCCCTACCTGCCATGGTAAGCGAATACTCGATAAAAATTCCAGCTGTAAAAATATCCGTTTTCACTAAATGCTACCTAGAATTTAGCAACCTAAACTGTACATAATTTCTGCAAGTTGTTATACTTAATAGTAATTTTAATTACCTACATTTTAAACTTTCTGCTTCATGGATTCCTTATCTTCCTCTTTCACGAGTTCTTCCTGCTTTGCAGCAAATAATTCCTTGTCATAAATAATTTTAACCACGAGAGAACAAGACGGACACGTGGCCTCCTCTTCGCCAGCAACTAAATCGGCTTTTGATATTTGAAACTGATCTCCACAAGGACAGGGGTAATAATACATTTCCTCGTCCTCGTCGTACTCGAAATCTTCGATCTCCACCTCGTCATGATAAACTGTCATCGTTCACGCGTACTTCAAGCCCAACAAAGATGTTACCGACATCGCGATTTGTCACGACGGCTTCTTCGGAGCAACTTCCGTTTCGCCGGTCGGGCCGCGAGCCGGTTTTCGGATTGGGCGAAGCCGTCCTTTGTCGGCCGCCGACCCGAGCACGCATGTAAACAAATCTAGTGACTCAATTACCAGAGATGAGTTGGGAGATTGCTCACGGGCAGGGTCGCGTGATCGCATCGTGTGCTGCCCTCTGGTTTCGTACGTTAGCTTTCACCGCTTTTTGCCTCCAAGGGCGGAGCAACGTGATTGGTCGATCCTTTATCGGGCCGGTGACGTCGTCCAATCACGGAGTCGGTCACGGCCGGAGATTGCGGCCCGGCCGACGGATCGCCAGTTGCTCCTGAAAATTTGCATAAAATATTTATCCTTGTTTAATCCATGCATACAGAAAATTCGTTATAAACATTACTTCCGGAATTCACATTAACGAGGTATTCTGGGGAAGAATGAGATAATTTAACATTAATACGTTGGTCGATTTCATGCTGTTCGATAATGGTCTTCTGGCATCTACATCTGAAGGGTACTTTTAAGCAGTTGTATTCTTCAATAACGATGAGGAAGCAAAGTCTATATTTATAAGAGAATTTCTTAAACACTGTGAGCAATAATACGTTTTCAATTGGCATACCAAAGATGACACTCGCACCGAAAGAGCTTGCCAAACTTATGGACATTCTCGATGAAGAAAATTTGGATACTACGCTGGAGGTTCTCTCGAACCAACTTCATCAGACTTTTGCAAAAGAAGATCGTTTTAAAGTGGGAATGACGTTATTGTTGTTATTACAAAATATCGATCTTCTACCAAATCATGTTCAGCGTATTATGGCAGTAGCTCTGCTTTTTGACCTATACAAGGGAGAATCCTTAGCTTCTACTCCATTTGCAACGGTATTTGTTCAGATTTTAAAGCCGTCGGAAGAAACGGGTAACGGGGTATCCAGGCCAAATTTTTCTGGCCATATTCCGGTTCTATCACCATGCGAGAAGAATCTGCTGGCACATTTACTGGGATACAATGCCAAAGAAATTACAAAGAAAACTCCACGACAAATTATCGATGAGCTTTACTTTGCTACGACGCCGCCTATCGATTTAACCAATTTGCAAATGCAGTTAGCGGAACGTCATGCCGAATTGCCTGCCATAAGTAAATGCGGAAATCCTATAATATTGCCAGATATGGACCGTTCAAAAACAGCAGAGATCGACAAAAATTTAGGTAGAAATATTGCCGAAAGTCTAATCACGAGTGATATACCACTATGCAGTCAAAGCTATAGGCCGGAGTTTCTGAGACTCGCTCCACCAATTTTTCACTCTGCTAATGAATTAACATGGATGAATGTTACAAAGCCAGCACAATTTACTGCAGAATATGACACTGGAATGTGTGTATCAAATTGTGCCGGAGCCGAGGCTCGCAAATTAATGGGCAAAGCATTCAAGAGTGTTTTAACATTACAACAGCAGCAACATTTGGTTACGGAATTAGACAAGGATCCAAAACTGGTATATCACATAGGTCTTACTCCTGGAAGATTACCTGATCTTGTCGAGAATAATCCACTTATTGCGATCGAAGTCCTCTTGAAGCTCATGCAATCCAGCCAAATCACTGAATACTTCAGTGTCTTGGTTAACATGGAAATGTCCTTACATTCTATGGAAGTAGTAAATCGTTTGACTACTACCGTTGATTTACCAACTGAATTTGTTCATCTTTATATAAGCAACTGCATATCCACCTGTGAAACTATAAAAGATCGTTACATGCAAAATCGTCTTGTACGACTAGTTTGTGTCTTTCTTCAGTCATTGATTAGGAATAAGATTATAAATGTGCAAGAACTTTTCATAGAGGTGCAAGCGTTTTGTATAGAATTCAGTCGAATTAGAGAAGCAGCTGCGTTATTTCGACTCTTGAAGCAATTGGAATCAGGAGACATAGGTGGATTAACAGTGCCACCGGCAAAAAATAAAATAGATATGTGTTGATGGAACTTGTATTACAATGATTTGTTAAAGTAATCGTAAACATTACAAAGGAAAACAGATTGTCATCTTTTTACTATTTTTAGAACAAATACAATAAAGTTGTAACACGTAATAAGGAAATTATATATTTTTTACACCGTTTTTCACATTCTATTTAATTTTTCATGAACAAGAAATAACTTGAACACAAAAGTATCTGCATGATTCCTATGGTCGTGGCAATGGAATATGGTCAGTACTTACAGCACTCAAAGGGTACAAAATTGATACCAAAGCATTGACTTGGGATTCGAATTTCTATTAGTTACACAATCATTTCAGTCTCTGTTAATTATACAATTCTTCTAACCATCTCATATCATGTACAAAATCAGTTCCTATGCCTATTGTTATTTTTCATTGCTTTCGACATTTTTCCAACACGTACACGCTACATTCAAGTATACATGGTCACCTTAATTCCAATGTCTCGATTAAAAACTTTTTACAAAAATCAACGTAAATTAATGAATCTTAAAAAATAAGAAACATCACGCATACATTTACTGAAGTTTGAAACTTCGTTTAAACCCATACAAAATTTGATGTTCACTTGGTTTAACAAGAAAACTGTACAAACTTATTCAAATTCTATTTCATACAAATTTTTAACCATTCTACTCGAGTAACAGGCTCTATAGAAAATTTATGTATGGGTCATTTCGTACTTACTATACAACACGTGAACGTTATACCAATTATAAATTAATATTTTTATTTTTTTGTAGACCGCTGTTTTTCATTCTCATCGAACCTAGTGCAAAACTGACTTACTTCTATTCTTTTCCTATACACGATGAATCGACGCTTCTTATGAACAATCGATACCAATTTGAATAATCTGAAATGAAAAAACTTATAAATTGCTATAATTAAATAACTTTTACATATCCTAATGTTAATTAGGAAAAATGCATTGTTTAAATTTGATAGACTTCACTCATGTTTTCGGTTGATTACGCCCTGACGTTAGTAAAAACTTATTCAGATAATACTTTATCCAAAGCTCTTTATATTTACTTCCGAAAGAATTGGATACTTTCAGCATGCCAATATCATGCTTAAATAAATCATAGTACGTTTCTGAAACTTAGTAGATACTCAAACGCCCAAATATTCGTTAAAATGGAATATTTTCTACGATTTTTTTACATTTCACCAGAATTCATATTTTTACAGACATAATATAAAGATATACAACAGACTAAAAAGGCATGAAAGAAGTGTTTTACCAATTGTTCTGGCAAATTACAACTTCCTATATTATTCTGTACAATTAGCTACGAAATTATCTGAAGTTTTAGCATGTTAAAAATGTCCGTACCGTGTAAGACCTACTAGTGACAATTGCCCTATTGCTTAATTTAAGTGTCTTATTTGCATTCGTGACCACTTGTAATTTGACAGCATATTTAGACGAATACGCTGTATTTTTCTTGATCATTTTTTTTAAATTTTCATATTGCATAATTTCATCGTTAGACATTTAAGACGTAGTGTGATTTTTATGACAAATTATGTGAGTGAAGATTTTTATAACAAACCGTTGTATACCGGTTTCCTGATGTACTAGGAAATTGTCATTGTCCAAAGTGAGGTATAACAATACTGTCATATTACTTCAGGAGAAATTAAATATTTTAGTTTAACGATACAATTAATTGTTAGAATGCATAATAATTAGGAAATCGACTTTAACGAATGTCCAGCATTCGTCTACTAAGTTTCACGAGGTAACAGGATACAATTCTTACCCAAAAAATTACCGAGATGTGAAATCTGCTAGAATGTTTATAGAAATCTGCAATTCGATGTATTTCAAGTCCAGAATCTTTATGCATCTAAAATTCCATAATATTGATTGCATACAAATTCTGGAAATGATATATTCTCGAATTTCAGGCCACTTTAATTATTTCTAGCATGTTTCATGTTACCTTAAACATAAGCGAGACACGTTTTTTAGATTTTAATTCTTCGCTCTCAATGAGGTGCGCCTTCCTTCAATTTTTTACTCTTCTTGCTGGGTTTCATTTTGAGAACACCTTTCTTGTTTTTTCCTTTCGTTTTGCCAGGTTTCACCTTTAACGTCTTCATCTGCATTTTCAATTCTTTCTTTGACACCTTCTTACCAGGCTTGACTCCTTTAACGTTTAATTTGCTGCCTTTTAATTTGACTTTAGTGGCAGCTTGCGTCGATATACCGGACCTCACCCCGGGTCCGGTTGGCTTGTACTAGGCCGTTACCTTTACTTTCTTCTTACGTTTCTTTTTCTTCTTGTCATGGTGAAGTTCTTGTTGTTTAGCGATACAAGAGCGACAATACCAATCTTCATTGGTAGCGGGTGGAACTTGCATTCCAACGCAAACCCTGGAATAATTTTTATTTCTAGTATTTCTTTTTTATGTAATTATCTCCGATAAACTGAGAATTATTATTTACCAGTGATACCATGCATCGCAATCATCACAGCCAATCATTGGTGATCCATCATCCTGGTTCCCGCAGGCAGGACATATCCAAACTTGTCGGCCTACCTGATCCTGTAACACTCAACTCGTGATAAAAACTGAAACACCTCTTTAAAGCTGAAAAACAGCCCGACCCATGTTTTGAAACTCTCGTGAATTGCCGTATATATCCGTATTTGAATGACTATACAGAAACTCGATATCTGCATAAAAAGGTTGACTTGAAAACTTGTGGTTAGCGATTAAAAGTATCGGTGTATATCTAAAATTGATGTGAAACTTAAAAAGGGTGGATATCGGCATGCCTTGCTTTTCGAAAATAACGTCTTAAAAGTGAACCCTGTCCTCGTCATTGTCGTCATTTACATTATTTCGTGCAAATCGCACGATTGCCTTATAAATATAAATATGGACATCGGATTTGAGCAACGTCCACTTTCTTGACACTATTTTCAAATGCCGAATGCTCTTTGATTTTTGATGATGACATGAGGGGATTTCCCTACAGTGGTGAACTTGTCTCTTCTTTTTTTACCGACTGAAATATTTATGTGTTATTCAGAAAGTGAAAGATCTAAAATCTAGTGCTTCGTTCGAACAATCGTCCGCATCGCCGCGTGTTCATATCTGGCATGTGGTACTTGGCAAACGAAGAAAACAATAGAGTTGATTCTCTTGTTGCCTGTGCATACTAGGACGCAGTTTGTTAAATCTTATCCAAGAAAATAGGAGAGATATCAACATCCCAATGGTCGTGTAGGAGGAAGAATTTTTTCAGGATCCTCCAAGGCGTCAATCTTAAAACCGTTTAGCTAAAAGTTCTAATAAAAATTGCCGTTGGATATCACGAAGTGGTCTGTAGTTATGTAGGAGCACTTGGCTTGCCGTTGATCTCAAATCGGGAAGGTGTGTACTCACCACGTTGGTTGGTGCGGTGGCCAACACGTTCCCTCCATTCTCTTTATCTTCCTTAGCATCGTCCTTTTTAGGAACCGCATCTGCTTTCACCTCTGTGCCGTTAAAACCTTTGGTTACATTTCTAACTGCTCACGTTAGCTAAGTACAATGTACGACATGCAATATGCATGCAATGATATACAGAAGCACTTAATTATTTTCTTTCGTCACTTTTGTAGCTCTTTAGCCATATCGGACGTCCACGATAATCATCTGTTTCACTTGCGAACCCTTTACGACGTAAATCGAGGTACTCTCGGGTGTATTTATAGGTATCCACAACGCGCGACTATTGAATGTATCTTCGATTTCAAGCACAAATTCTACAGAATACGATTCTTCGTTTACGAAGTGACTAACATGCAGAATTCTTACACCTTTCATATAGCTCTGGAGGAGATTTTCCTCAAAAATTGCCAAGAATAGAGGAGGAATACGCCTAGCCTACTAAGAGAAAGAAAATGCACACAAAGTTTCACAATTTGGGAAAATGAAAACCTCGACAAGGTGACATGATTCCACGTAAAGAAACAAGTTGAAAATATAGAATAAATTATTTTCACGTAAAGCTTCGCTTAGGTACAAAAGTTTTCAAAATTAATCGAAAAGACTTTTTGTGAAATACACGAGTCCTATTTATCGAAGTTACTTTCCATTTGTGGGATAATTCAATTTCAGGTAAGAAGAGACAAGTATACTGAAAATTATGTAATATAAACTGTAAAATTTTTAATCTGTATGTTAGCGATGACGTGTTGGGAAAATAGGAGATGCAAATGTGAAGTCTTCTGATGTTAAGCGACGGAAATAATTTAAAAAGTGACTTGAAACTGTCTCGTAACAATGATAGTAGAGTTGGAAGAATTAAATTAACTCTCCTCATTTTAGGCGATTTGTAGGGTGAAGTCAATTAAATTACATTATAAAGAACGTAAAAGTTGATGCTAAATATTTTATCGATAAATTTTAGTACTCTCATTAGAAAACATATATTTTTTAAATAATCTAATAAAATAAACTAATATTATAAAGAATGATGTAAATAAATATACTGCAAAGATAGGATGAACTATTGGGCAAACTATAGTGTAGAGTGACAAAATACACAATGAGACTAAATACATCCAAGAAAGGATCGAAGGTTTTACACTGACAGATCAAATAACATATTTAAAGCTTTGGCTAAACTATAAATTAGGCCGCCACCACAAGTCGTAGATGCATAGAGAGAGTAGAATGAATGGGAATATATGGATCATACGGATTTTCAGGTCAAGTCTGTTTCAGCCTTTCGTTTCAAAATATGGATAGGTTGATATATTCATCCCTGTTTGGATTGTCGGAAGGAACAATTTTCCAACAACCCTGTTTTATTTGACTAGTAAATCGTGAAGTTATGTAAAATAAACGACGAGGGACGGTATAATTAACAAATGTTCAAAACGTTTAATTTTCTAAAATCTAGTACGAAAATAATAGAATCGATCTTTTCCTGATAGATTTGAGAATTCTCTTCTTTCATAGTATTCAACTAGTTTTAACAATCTCTTAAATTTTTATGAACATCACGTTTACAAAAAAAAAAAAAAAAAGAACCATGAGATTCTCATTGTAAAAAAAATTAAAAAGCTACTTATAACAATAATAAGTGTAGTGATTTAATTTACTCAATATCATTTATAGAGACTGAAAACGATAAATAAAAATAACTGTATAGAAGGTTATTCGGTACAAGTTGACCTAAGAAGATACCGCCCCTTCGTATAAATTTCAATAGAAATATCTTCTAAAATCAGTGCAGCGTTGAGATCTGAAAAGAAAACTCCTCGTAATCATTTCAACCTGAAAAGTGACTGGTCTGCAAATAGGAATCCCTATACTGGTTTTTATGTGAAGTACAGTAAATTCAAGATTCACTTAATATCGTTTAAAAATATCTCTAAGCTCGTGGTTCATTAAGTCCATAGGAATTCTTACTTTTTGAACCTTTTCGTGAACGATGAAAGTAGGAATGCAACAACAAACTAGCTGTTGCTGCTTTCGACTGCTTTCAACGGTTTCACGTAAAAAGGTAGGTTGATAACAGAAATCGAGGAGCTCTACCGATCTCAACGCGACCCTTCGTTAACGTAGCAATCGTACTTACAAAGTAATACGCTGCTCGTTGCTGCGGCACTTGAGGACTCGGGGGAGAGGAAAGGGTAACATTCGTCACGGGATGATCGTTGTAGTGCGTTTGAGGCGACGGATCTCTCTGAGGAAGGGGTTTAAAGAGGGCTTTCTTGGTTCTGGGAGCGTTTGGAATTGAAACGCAGGCGAGGTTGTTCGAGAAAGAAGTTTCCGAGGGAAAAGCAGGGCTTGCGTCTAACGTCCCATCCTCCGGTCTCTTACTTGCTGACTTCTGCTTAGGCGGTCGCGTTACCAGAGCCGAAATTTTTGCCAGCTCCGGACTGGGCTCCCTTTTTGACGCGTCTTCCTCGGTCTTCTTAAATACTGGCTTGATGGTACTGGGCAGAGTAGGGGGTAATAAAACGCTATTGGAAGCGATCCGTCAAGCTTAGAGGGTAATCAGGATGAGTCCGAACGACCGATCGAAAAATCCATGTACTTACATTTTCTTCATGGGGGCATTATCAGGAGTGGGTGGCCTCGGAGACGAAGGTCCCAATTTTAACGTAATCTTTGGAACACCTTCCATGGTCTTTTCTTCTTTCTGTGTACAAAGGAGACTCGTATTACCCTAGAGGCGAATCTTGTAGGCCTATAAATATTAATTTATGCTACAATATTTACCGCTATTTTGTTATTAATATCCTTCTCCTTTCGCTTTTCTTTTTTCTCTTTCTTCTCCTTAATTTTTTCAATCTTCTCCTTCTTCTCGCTTTTTTCTTTCTTCTCCTTAATCTTTTCACCCTTCTCTTTGTGCTTCTCCTTTTTGTCCTTCTTCTTCTTCAGTTTATCTTTTTTCTCTTTCTTATGTTCCTTCGATTTCTACAAATTCCAAAATTTAGTTGTACAAGGTTTGACGCGCGGCCCAGATAAATTTATAAGCTGCACGTATGTATAGAATCCGACATGGTGTCCAAACCACTGCCAGAGTAAGCAAGGCATCGGCGACACTTTTAATAAATGTCCATATCTAACACTCTAACCTAGGTTTCTCCTTAAATGTATAAGTGCACTCAAGCAAAAGTCACTTTTTTTTAGCATTCTAAATCGGCCGACGAAAAGTATCGTATATTACCGTCGTATTTATTTTGATAGAAAACCTAATATAATGCAAGGCACTAGAAGCCTTCGGTAAGAGATCAGCTGATTATTTAGCATATCAATCACCTTGTCAATCTTGGCTAGTTTGTCGATCTTGGGGACTTTCGGAGGTAACAATGGCACGGCAGTCACGGGTGCAGGGGGTACGACCAGTGCAGCTGGTGCAGAGACAACGGGTGGTGCAACGATAGGTCCAGGAGCGTGCACGGACGCTTCTTTCTCCTGTTTACTGACAGTCTTCCCAATTTTCTCAGATCTTTCCTTATCCTGTTTTTCGTGTTTGACAGGTGTAACCACAATATCCGCCGGTAACGTTAAAGGCAGCGGTGGTGGCGGTGGTGGAGGTGGCAGAGATTGCGGTGGAGGTGGAGGCGGAGGTGGTGGAGACGGTGACGATGGAGGAGGTGGTGGTTGCAACGATGGTGGTGGTGCTAAAGATTTCTCACGTTCCGAAGATTTAACTTTCGGCATTGGAAAGTCTTCGGTCTTGGAATTCGGAGTGAGAAACCGTGGAGGTAAAGGCAAGTTGGGCATTGCTGGATGCGGTCCTGGACCACCCCTTCCCAAGGGCAGGGGAAATCTTGGGAACATCGGATGTCCTATTGGATGTGGAATTAGACCCGGCGCCGGAGGGAACGTAGGGAAAAACGGATATGGTAGGCTTGGAAGATGTGGAGGTTCTCTGTGTATCGGGGGCTCTGGAGCCTGTGGAGTCTTTGGCCGATCTGGCAAATCTGGTTCCATCGTGTCGTTGGTAATTTTCACCTGAAAAAGTGCCAACCGCAACCAAGGATTTTTGTAATCCAGTATTTTTGCCCTCTATCTGGAGTTGGAAATGTTCTTTTAAGACAGGAAGCCTGCCTTTAATATTTAATATCTAATAAAGTAGTACCGCGGTATGTCGCAACCCCAAATATTCATTTCCCATCAAGAAACTGAACTGCTTTGATAACTTTTCCAGATATTACATCTAAATGCTATTAAAAGAATGGGAATGATCTTAATATCGTTTCGAAATATGAGGTATTACATACCTTTCTCGGACTCACACAATGCTTTGGACTCTTCAGCTTTGGCTCTTTTTTCTTGCTCTTATCCTTTTTCTTTTTTTTCTGATCAACGGGGATAGGTACGCTGACTTCGGGAGTCTTTGGCGTGCTAGGTGTTCCAGGTGGTGACATATCGTCGAACATGTAAACATCGGAGGATGGACTTCTTATGCCGTCCGAAGGAAACTCTGCATCAGGCTGGATATCAGGAGTATGCGGCGTCTTTTTCTCTTCTCGTTTGGAATCAACGTCGTTTCGATGAGCAAACTTATCTACATTTTCATCGATAATTAAATCAGGTGAACTTTCACGAGAATCAAGTTCTTTGTGTTTGTGGTGTTCTGGCGCCACTTCTTTCTCTTTGTCCTCACGAGGAGTCTTCGATATTTTTTTGAAAATGTTAAGTTTCTGCTTATCAGGTTCCGATGGCAGTTTGTCTACGGTGTCTTGCTTCTTTTCAAATTGTGGTGGACTTCCTGTCAGATCTATTACTTTTTCAAGCCTGATTTTGGGTTGAAGAGTTTTGGACAGTTTAGGACTCCCTCCTGTAGCTTTCGGTGTTACAAGTTTCGGCGTCGCCGGTCTACTGGATGGCCCAGGTTGAGCACCTTGTGTCTTACCACCGCCTGGCTTTAAAGGTTTTAATTTAGCCAATTCTTTCATGCCAGCTAACTTCTTCACCTTACTATCATCTATTTTATCAGGTTTAAATAACTCTTTCGCGCGATTTTTCTTTTTGTTTTCCTTATCCAACTTCCGGTCTTCGGCACCTTTCTTCACAACTTTCTTTGGCTTCTTATCACTCTTTAATTCTGGTGGAACCATGGGGTAAGAGCTAGGTGGTGGAGAATCTGAACGAGTCTGCTGAGGAGTTCTAGCTTCTGGGAGCTTACCCTCTCGTGCTGGTGAAAGAAATCCAGACGTAGTCATCATCACGCTGTGAATTTCACGAAGTGGCCTTCCTTCTTCCATCACTCTCGGTCGCTTTGCTATGGGATTCTCAAACGACACAGGGTCACCTGGTCTTTTAAATACTACCTGTGGGGAAATTCTGTGAGGAGATGCATTTGAATTCCCTGCAGAGGTGCCATTGCTTGTTAGTGTCTCTGATGTGCCATTTGATAGATTCTCTCCTCTATCGGACGTGTACTCTTCTGGAAGACAGGATCACCAAATGTTTAGTTTATCAGATGTGACGATGAAGTTTCAATCAAGTATTATGTACCTTCTGTGTTTGGATACATGGCTGGTAGATGTTCATGAATGTGTACCGATCTGGTAACTACTTCTCGACTGCCTGGTTTTAGAAAATTTAAGTGATTGTCCCGATGCACAGGAAATTTTGGGACTTCAATAGCACAAGGAATCGAGTCTACATTTCTAACGTATTCAACTAACTCTTGAATATCTATGTTCATATGTTGAAAAGCAAGCCCTAAGTCATCAAGGTTTGCTTCTGTTCGTCCCACTAAAATATTAGTTAAAAAATGTATATTTAATGGGAAATAAAAAATAAATTAACTTTTCTAGAATTACTTACAAACTTCTGCATATTGATGCGTTAGTTTGGAAACTCGCATAAGATACTCCTGCATTAGGTCAACCATGAACTCTAAAGGAGTAGAATTAATAGAGTGCCAACCGATCGTTTGGCATATCTGTGCGACGACCATTTTTAAGATTCCTCTGCTATACTCAGCAGTCATTTTTGCTAGAAAAAAAAATAATTATTTAAATATTCATTGAACTAGTACATTACAAGATAATTATAGCATATCAAGAATTACCGTGTTGTTTGTATTTTCATATAGAAATACATTTAACAGGTTCCGTTATTCTAAAAAGCTTGACATCAAAAAGTAAACTGAGTCAGGATATGTTTAGGCATTTTAAATATGCGCCTAGAATAGCTAATAATTAATAGTGAAGGAGCGTAGTTGGCCGAGTATTAAAAGGAAAAAGGAGTCTATACGACTAAATAATTAAAATCAGGTTATTTGATGTTTCGCTTACTTTTAGTCCGATAGAAAACTCTTCAAGGTAAATCTTGTGCTATTTAGCACTGTCAGTTTTTGCACCAATGCCTTAAATACCTAGTCGACCGCCTCATTTTACTCGAGCTCATTATATTTTGTTATAGACACTGTGAATGCGTTCATTTATTGAAATCGTAACATCATAACTGTAAACTATAGTACAGCTTACGAGACATCGCCGTTAGTCGACACCATCTTTACTTTTTCTTCGAGCGTTAAGAGCCAAAGAGTATTATTACATAGAGTGGAAGGTCCCATAAAGCCCACTGAGACCCGATTCCACAACTCGAGTTAACCGAAGTTTAACTAGTATACACCCAGTTTTAACCTGCTGTAAACCAATTAAACTCCGAGTAACTGGTTTATACATAAGTTTATATACAGTTTAAACCTGGCTGAAAACTTCTTAAACTCCGATCAATTTACGGTTATGCCCCTTCGAAAGTAGTTCCAAATTTTACGAAAGTGTAAAGGGCGTAGAGGGCGTTAGTAGGCCGTGCCTCACTTTCGAACAATGGCGTGAAACATCTTCCCGCTCATCTCTGATATGACGTTGATTAAGGATTAGTAACAAACTGAACATTTATGAATTATTTTAAATAAGTCATCGTTTTACTTTGAATGAACCGTCTTACATCCTTTGGGCAGCCAGAAAAACAGACGTAAGAACCCCGGAATAAGTAACTTGTGTAAAATGTGAAAAAGTCACAATATCTCTCACATTTATTGTTTTGGTTAAAACGAAAACAGTTTAGAGTGAAGAAAAAGTAGTAAATGTTGTCAAAGATGATGGTTCATACAGACCACAATTTTACCTCAGATTCACAAATAAAGAAAAAAAAACCCGAAACAAAGAATGAAAATGTTTCACCAGTGCTTAAGCTACCCTTGGAAGAAAGTAAACAAAAATCTAATCGACGACGAAATGCACCTGGATCAAATTGGAATAATTACAAAAGCCTGGTTACCAATTTAGGGACAAATAGTAAACATGTGAATATACAGGATATGCTTATCAAACCACATTGGAAAAGCAACAAATATTTGAAGCAAGTATTACATTCTGATTTGGTATGTACTGATATTTTATATTATCATTTCTAATTATCTATGCAGATTGTAGTGCTTCATGATTTTACAAGAAATTAAAATAATACGTATAAAACAATGACAAACGTAATTGCAGGGCTCTGAAGCGAATGATGGTACAAATGATAAGACTTTGAAACATAAAGATGCAATTACTAAGGAAATAGCAATCGATTGCGAAATGGTAGGGATAGGTGATGGGACGGAAAGTATGCTCGCTAGGGTATCTATAGTCAATCGGTATGGAACATGCATTTTTGACAAATATGTAAAACCAAGAGAACCGGTTCAAGATTATCGGACCGCGGTTAGTGGAATACAACCTCATCACCTAGAAAATGGAGAGGATTTCAAAGCGGTACAACAAGAAGTAGCTAAAATATTAAAGAAACGAATTTTAGTCGGACATGCTTTGAAATATGATTTAGCTGTATTATTCTTGTCGCATCCTGTCAGGTGCTTAAGAGACACTTCCAGATATAAACCCTTTAGACAAGTGTCACAGGGAAAAACTCCAAGCTTGAAAAAACTTGCTGCCGTTTTACTTGGTATCGATATTCAGTTAGGTGAACACGATTCCGTAGAAGATGCTCGCACAGCGATGTCATTATATATGTTGTACAAGTCTCAATGGGAAACGTATATTCATTCTAAGAAATAATTTTAATTATTATTAGTTCCTTAATCTTATTTTCTTTCACATATAAATGTTCAATACCTGCCTTCCAATTATGAATACAACGTTAATTTTGTATGCTAAGAAATGTGATCGGTTAATCGTAAGAATTACAAAAATTTCTCTTTATCTTTCTTTTGAGTTTGCAATCATCAGTTTTATTGGTTTTAAGTGTATTTTGAAAACTATAATAGTATAATTTATATAATAAAAAAGTTGTTCAATTTAATATTTCTAAATGAATTTTTCTCCTATTTTCTCCTCCAATAAAGAAGCATGTATTGAAGTAACGTATCAAAAAGTGTCGCCATCTTCTACACGTATTAACACTAGTCTTGTTAATCTCATTAATAGATAACTTGATGCGTTCGTGTTGTATGGGAAGGGTCAAAGTTCATTGCCCCATATAACTATCTCACATATGTATAATCTGGCTGTGCTTGAATTCGCCACGAATTCATTAGTAAAGACGCGTTGGTCATTGCATCGAGATTCCTTATAACTTTTTATAATGCTGTTAGTTGCTGATTGTCGCTTGCTGTGGTAACTCGTATAAACAGTAAGTTCACCTACTTTGCGACTGAGCAAGTTATTTACTTAATTTTGATAAATACCGAATGTAATATTTAGTTTTATAAGAACATGAAATGGGTAAATTATAGAACAAGAGTAAGAAAGAAATTGTGAAATGCGGAACTATTAGAAAGAACGACTTATAAGTACTGGTCGATTATAATGAGCGCTCGTGATTGCACGTATTCATCCGCGTTCCTGTGAGTGAATACCTCCACTCGTGCCTCAAATTGAGTGCCGTTCACCTTCTCTCATATTTCTGAAAGCAGTTCGACACATTTCTTCGGCAAACATCAGGTTCTCGAGGAAACACAGATAACATTTTCCTCTGCGTTCGACCGGTAAGTCTTGATAAAAAAAAATTTTGTCTTCCTCTTGTTCAGTATTAGGATGTCGAGTTTTTAGAAGATACCGACGTAGGAGTTTCTAAAATCGAACGGACACGCATTAAGCATGGATTTAACTTTCAAATTCGTTCCTTGCCGTTCTTTAATTTTATAGGATATAGAAGAGCAAGTATGCGCGTCGCGATAATAGGAGCAGGTGCAGCTGGGCTTGCAGCGCTCAGACACTGTGCAGCCAATTCTGTATCCGATGAGAAAAATAAACAGTCGATGACAGTTGTCTGTTACGAAAAAACTAATGAAATAGGAGGCACCTGGGTTTACACGGAAGCCCATGGTTTCGACTCCTACGGACTTCCGATTCATTCGAGCATGTACAAAAGTCTTAGGTGAGCTCGCGTTAACTACACGAATTGTTGCATCGAGTTTCCGCGTACTAATTGGGTATACGTATTTTAATACAGAACAAATTTGCCGAAAGAAGTGATGGGTTTCCCGGATTATCCTATTCCCGAGGGACCAAAAAGTTACTTAACGCGCACAGAAATTCTCAATTTCCTTAATTCATACTGCGATCGCTTTCAACTTCGTCAACATATTCGGGTAAGGATTTTCTTATTTATTGCTAATACAGATAGAACCTAAACTAAATATGTTCAAGCGAGAAATTAATTTTTCAATGTCTAGTTTTCTGATAGTATTTCACTTAGCAACGTTCAAAGAGAAGGTCCATGTGAAGCAACTCATCTATTATTATTTGATTTAGTTTCTCCACAATGTGATACTGGTTAAGCCTACAGAATCCGAACCCAAGACCTGGCAGGTTCAAGTGAAGGATCTGAAAAAAAGCGAAATAGTCACCGAGATATTCGATGCAGTTATGGTTTGCAATGGGCATTATTTCGAACCCAGTGTACCCGAAATTAAGGGTATTCTCATTTTCCGTGGTCGACAATCCCATAGCCATGATTACAGAGTTCCCGAGGCATTCGCCGGGAAAACCGTCCTTGTAATCGGGGCTGGTCCTTCTGGTATGCTCAGAACTAGATACTTTTTTAATGTTTACAAACGGATAGGTTTCAAGTTTATAATAAACGATTCCACAAACAGGTATGGATTTGGCACTGGAAATATCGTCTCAAGCAAAACATGTAATCTTAAGCCACCACTTCAAAGAAACGATACAGACGGTATTTCCGAATAATGTTGTGCAGGTAAAAATAACTGCAATCAATTGTGAAATAATCGTATTAGCTATTAATGACTTTTGGTCTCTCGAAAGGTCTGAATCTTTTTTTATCCAATTCAATGAACGATAATCCTCTTTCTTCATCTAATGTTTATCCGTTAGAAACCAGAAGTCGTTGAGCTAAAGGAACACGAAGCGATATTCAAGGACGGTTCCTCGGCTGCGATCGACGAGGTCTTCTACTGTACTGGTAAATGTCAATTTAAAAGTCTTATATATAGTATGTTAACGTGTAAATGCAAATGTGAAATAATTTGGGATATTTTTCAAGGATACAAGTATTACTTTCCATTTCTGGACGAGAGCTGTGGAGTACAAGTAGATTCTAACATGGTTACTCCATTGTGGAAGCATTTAGTCTCTATACAAAATCCTACTCTTGCCTTTGTTGGACTTCCATTCTATGTTTGTGCCTTCAGTATGTTTGATTTGCAGGTAGGTGTATCGAGTACATATAATTAATTTTATTTATCATAGTAGTGAGTCAAATATGTAAAATAATTCGTTCAAAAGTGGGGAGCACCCGAGGTAACTAAAAATTAAGCAGCTATATCGTTCAGGTTCGTTTTGTATTACGATTCTGGAGGGGTGAGAAGCAGTTTCCCTCGAAAGACATAATGCTGGCTGAGGAAGCTTCCGAAAAGAGTAGAAAGGAGCAGCAAGGATTATCCAAACGTCATTTCCACATGATGGGTCCAGCCCAAGGGGATTATTACGATAATTTAGCCGACACGGCAGGAATTACTCCTTTACCTCCAGTCCTAACTAAGCTCCACAACGATAGTAGTACGCGTTTCCTTGATGATCTATCGCATTATCGAGAAGACCGGTACCGAATTGTGGATGATAATAATTTTATTAAACTCTGAACTTCCGCAAATGACTCTTCGATTCGACGCGCGGAATAAAAAACAGGGTTTGAAGGGTATTTTATAAAATTATTGACTTCATTAAACAATATATTATTAAAATAGACTTTAATGTCATTTTCTCGTGTATACTTATAGAAACGGCAGAATCATAACAAGCGAAAATATAACAGGAAGTAGCATTTCTTACGTGTTCATTTAAAAATCGGGATAGACGACCGCTTATAATATAATTAATTGAAATAGATTTTAAAAATTGATGAAATCTACGGCGACGTCATTGAGATTCGTTCGAAATTATCAGCCTAGCGTGCGCATACTTCAGCTGAAATTTTTAGAACCTGATTTTCCCTAATATAGTATGGCACTACTTGAAATCCAACGCGTCAACTTTATTAAATTTAACACGGAGAAAATGATTATGTATATAAATGATCTTGCTGTACGATGCTAACCACCTGGAGGGATGGTTCTTACATGATTCTAATCAGTTATAACTATGAGCTACTAAATTATATCGATGGAACTTTTGGCGCATACCCCGATTATGGAAACCCTTTACGTCCTTAATTAGTATTTAATCTACTTTATCTCATTCATGAGAATGAGCTAAAGGGGATACTTTTCAGTTTGCAACGACATGCAATCAATACCACGTACTTCCGTGAAATACGAAATTTCTCGTATTCTTAAATACGAATTATCGACAGCATACTTAACTCTCTTTTTAAGTTTTAGGTACAGTTTCAGAGCCATCCCTTTTAAAACAGTTTTACAGAAATCCGAAAAAGTTTCGCAAACGGCTTTTTATCGGATAATTTCAAATAATTCCGCATTTGATTAATATTTACAAGATTTTTGTTAGCTACTGTTTGTAAATTGAATTACAGATAGGCTTCTGCCTGATTAATTTGATACATTTTATCCTTTAACGATGTGCAAAACTATTTTACATGCCTATCCAGCTCTGTATTAAATTGACCTCACAATCCCGAGTTAGCCCCTGAAAACATTAAAGGACACCACTTGCTCAATGATCCAAATGTAGTAGTCTGTAGTAAGATAGAGCTAGTGGTAAAACTGCATCGTCAGGAATCGTGTTTTAATATGGCTTTCAGGTCATCAGGCAGTGAGCTAGTAATGTCATTTAATCTCTCGCGAAGCATGTCTTGCACGCCATCACTAATTGGCATATCCTCCTTGTAACTTTTATCTAATTTTTGTCGAATTCTGAGTATCATGTCTACGATTTCTACTTCTTGTTTTCCTTCCACCCACGAACAAAGATCCTGCAAAGATATGAAGCAACGAAAATAAATAACATGTATTGTTTGTACATTAGAAATGACATGTCTGATATGATTCGTACCGCTTGCGATAGAGCCTCCAATTGAATGGCCTGTAATTTTTGCGACAGCTCGGTGTATCTCGTGTGAAACCATCCCGAGAAATTGGGTGATCGAAAGAATCTTCTATATAGGCCGGTCCAGTCTCCTTTAATACCTGTGGTCAGTTGCGGCCCTGCACTACTTAATGTAGCTAGGAAGTCATTCGGATTAAACAGTTGAGGTATTGGCGTAGCCTAAAAATAAGTAAACGAATATTTCCACGATGAACTTGTTTCTGAGAGAGTTAAATATTTGATTGAAATAAACCTTGAAAGGTGATATGCTTTTCTGCAAAGGCATCAAGCTGGCAATGTATCTTTCCAGAGGAATCATAAAACTTTCGGTTAATTCCATCAAATGCCGTTTCAAAAGTGCTGTCTGCGCCTCTCCAGGCCTTTTAGTCTGAATACCTCTCAACAACTTTTTAAGAATAGTTTTGTCCTTTTGTAGGAAAGGCTTGTACTGTGTATAAACACCAGGTTTCGTGTCCAACACTTTCAGGTTTCCAGATCTTTTTATTTTGTACTTATGATTCTCTGAAATATAAACCAATCGATAAAATATAATCACAACTAATGGTCACAATTTGTCCAGTTTCTCACCGCTATTCATTCCTTCTGTTATTCTTATGATATGCGGCCAGTGTTGCAATGTTTTGGCAAAAAATGGATTAGTAACGCCTAATATAACTGCAGGAGGAGTAGGAGCATCCGTCGTATATTCTTTAAATTCAGTGTCATGTATTGTGAAGTACGGTCGATGATCGGCATAATACTTCAGTGGTGCTATCATTCTAATCGGAAGAATATTTTAATAATAAAACGTATAAACTTTGACATGTCTAGAACATTGTATTGGTAAAATCCTTACGACGTAAGAGCCTGCACCACTTCTGATGATGTTGTTGGAGAACTGGCCATTACAACAATTGGTTCACTCAATAAAACAAGTTCCCACAATAGATGTACATGACTGATAACACTGACCAAACTACGGAACATGTCTCCCTCGTAGGCTGATGTCAATATCAGTCTGCGTAACGACTGCTTATTCGAAACATGTTCCATAGCAGGAATCATTGGTGCTATGGCTTTATAATTTTGATTCGGAATGTACATCTAGAAATATTTTATATTATAACTATACAAGCATGACATTCATATCCTTGGGAAAAAAAAATTTGATATACGGTAAACTAACCTGAAACAATACCCCCATTAGTGGTAGGTGCACAGTTTGACCAGGAAGAGGAGGAGGCCACTGATCTATCTGTTTTATTATACGTTCCAGAGCAGGGGTACCAGTTTCAAAAAATTCTGGAGCAATGACTGAACAGATTTCACCAAATAAATTTATAAATGGTAATTTTGTTACTATGATGATACTCTGAAAATTTAAAAATATATCATAAAAATTGTACCGTATCAATTCTCAATATAGATAACCATGATTTACCTTTTGAAGGTATCCTCGGGGCAAAGTCTTGTCTTTCACTTGTCGGAAGTAAACATATCCCCAGTAATAGTCTTTATCGGTTTTTAGGAAGATTGGAGACTTTTTATCATATTCTCTTAAAGCATGAGTATTCTGTACAGAATTTCCATTTTGCCTGAATCTTACATAATAACGAGTATCACCCATACATCCTGAATTAGAGTCAGGGAAAGCTAAATAGCAAATGTTTGATCTTTCTTGTTCCGAGAGTTTAACATGATTTGGATATATTGCCTGTTAAAAAAAAAACACCAGATAAAACATGGTGTATGTATATGTTTTTAAAATTACAAAATAAATATTATTTTTAGTTAGTGCATTCAAAGTTTGATTAGGATTATTTACCTCAATGGCTTGACCTAGTTCAAGATCAAAAGTAACCACGCAGATGCAATGTAGCCAATTAGAAATTCTTTCCCATTTCCGGTATATTGGTTTTTTATCACAAGTAATAGCATCTTCGTACGTTGTAGAGCTACAGGCCGTCGACATCATCCGATTTCAAAATGAAAGGGTTCTAATATCAAATAAAATTGCAGGTTCCCATCTTGTCTTCATGCCACTGTTAAATAAATCTTAAGAGATACGCGTTACAAATCTTCTATGTACGTTAGACCGATTTCGATGCATGTTTCCTCACATGTCGTAATACCTAAGTACCTGGAACACAAGATATGTGATTTATAAAAATTGTCTTAAAATATATTATGGAGTTAACAAAGTACCTTCATAAACAACCGAAAATTCAAAAAGATCAGGAATAAAATTTCTTGATCACTCTGAACTACTATTTTTACATTCTTCGGTTACCTTTATTTCCTGTCACTACATGAGATTCTGCCGTATATCGTTTAATTGATACCTAATAAAAGCCAAAATGATTTTTAAATTATTTCTAAGCATATGTATAATTTGTTGACAATTAAGACTTCTGTTTCGGGTGAAAACATAATGACAACCGTAAACAGGTTTCTCAACTTTCACGTTCACAATTGCTCACAATTACGGAAGACGCTCGTGCTTGGGCAAGCTTGGACTTTAACTCTCTGATTCTGATGAACAGAAAGATTGCTCACAGATTTGTTCGATTACAGCTCTCTGTTGTACTTACGCATAATTTCCGAACTGAAGAAGTTTGTGGCGTCATCGGACATACATGACGAGAACTAAATGCATAGTTGGATAGGTATGTGGGTTCTCCGTCTTACGAAAGAGCGCTGCAGCCGTACGCATAAAAATACATTGCGGCCTTATGGGACTTTCCGCTCTATCTAATACTCTTTGCGTGCCACTGCGCACAGAGTAGTTTTAAGTTAGTACGTTCAAATTAATTATTAATTAAACATTGACACAATGGCAATAATAAAAATACTGCTAAAGCCAGACATTAGAAAAATTTCTGGGGCTAGAGTGAGTCAATTTTTTTGCAATAACATTACTTTTCATACAAATTGACAAAGTTTTAAACAGGTCATTTTAGTACGTATTCAGTGACTTTCTTTTGTTGATACTGTAGTGGCTGATCGTTGCAAAATCTCTAGCTTAATGTACAAAAAGTATTATTTTTTATATTACTGCAGTCCCTTTTTGTACTCTAATTTAAAATAGGAAGTAATGACTTCATATGTGAACAAATAAAAATGATAAAAGTTGGTTTTAATTATGTGTGAATATGTATAAAAGTATTGAAGATTGCAAATTATCGTTTCATTTTCAGCATCTAAGTTCAAAGCCAAATTTCGGGTTGCTGTTTGACATAGATGGGGTAATTGTACGTGGGAAAAATGTATTACCATCAGTACCTGAGTCCTTCAAACGTCTTATGGGACAGAATGGCAAATTCCGAGTTCCTACTGTGTTTGTAACTAACAGTGGAAGTGCGTTACGTAGTCAAAAAGCAGCGGATTTATCAAAATGGATTGGAATCGAAGTGTCGGAACAACAGGTGATCATGGCACATTCTCCATTGCGATTATTCAAACAATTTCATGACAAGCAAGTTCTCATTTCTGGTCAAGGTCCAATTAATAAAATTGCTGATGAATTGGGTTTTAAGAAAACAACGACTATAGATGAATTAGTGAAAAACTTTCCATCGTTGGATTATGTAAATATGAACAAAAGGAATCCACAGTGTGGCCCAATAGATCCTAATTTTCCTACAATAGAAGCTATCGTTCTCCTCAGTGAGCCTATAAGTTGGGAAACGCCATTGCAATTAATGGTTGATCTTTTAATGACTAATGGAATGCCTAAAGAACTGCCAGCTTCTATTCCCTATCCACATATACCAATTTTGGCTTGTAATATGGACTTACTATGGGTTTCTGAAGCCCCACTGCCTAGATATGGACACGGGGCATTTTTAGTATGCTTAGAAAACATATATAGGAAAGTTGTTGGAAAGGACATACAATATACTGCATTAATAGGTAAACCAAGTAAAGTGACATATATTCATGCAAATCGTATGATCGTCGAGCATGCAAAACAGATTGGAGTAGGTGATAACGTTGATACTATTTATACAATTGGGTAAGTTTTTACAGCCATAGCTTTTCAGTCTAAATACTTTTCGATACCATATTTTTATAGAGCAATCAGCTTCTCGTTGAAGTTTTAAATAATACTAAAAATATAATATGTTTTGTGTAACAATGTCATTCTATCAGTGTTTAGTATATTATGTATCCATTTTGAAATAATATTACATCACGCTTAGCTTTAAGACATATAAATATTAGAACAATAATAGCATGACCTTGCACGTTTGTCATGTCGAAGTGCCAAGAAGCTTATTGCTCTAGTGAATATATAGGTTTGCTTTACAAAACGATATAAATGTACTTTTTTTGTCTAGTGACAACATTAATACCGATGTATTTGGGGCTAATCTATATGACAAATATTTGGCCCAGTATGCCACAGGAAAAGGTACAAAAGTCAGCAAAATGAAAGCTCTGCTAGGTGATTACATAAACGGTCCTAGCGCGAAAGCTTGCATCAGTATTCTAGTTGAGACCGGTGTTCACCAAAGGGATTCAGAATTTTTCTCGGATCACAGTCACAGAGATTTTCATCCCATCGAAGAAGGCCTTTGTAAACCAGCTTTTATCGTAAAAGACGTTGGCCATGCTATTGACCTTGCTTTTAAAGAGGAAGCATTCGACTAAGTAGGCAGATCCAATAATGTCGACGGTGTCTCAGATTGGAAGCAAGATAGAAAATTGTAGAATTCAGTAATAGCAGCTACTTATAGTATTATCATCCCGTGGTAGTACACAGCAAGGTTGGTCTGCCATTAGAAGAATATATGAGATCAAGATCTCATTGACATGTTTATTTTAATAATAGCTCATTAAGCTTTTTTGTTCATTTTTAATGGAGATTGAGGAAAATGTAAGACTTTTAGATTTCCTGGACAATTCTGAGTAGAACAAATTTATAAATTATATTTTGCTTTTTTCAGAGAGAAGTCGATACTTATATACATGTACTTTCTAGAGACTTACACAGACAGAGAAAAGAATAGAAATAACAATGTAATTAAAGAATTAAGTAGAATAATTTTTTATAAGATTATATTAAAAATGTTAAATTTTTTTGACTTAGTTCATCCTACTGAAGCAGGGTTATCTACTCTCATCTTACATATAATATTTTGAACATTACAATTTCATGTAAGTTTGTATATTATTGGGGTAATTGTTATTCTAGTCTTGCAGAGACGTGAAGATTGAATACCATTGAATGTCTTTGATATACTCTTAGAAACTGCCAGATTGTGTTGGAGAATTTATTATTTTTCACGGAATTATTTCCTACAATACACATCAATTAATGACGTAAGATGTACTTGTTCGATTTTGTTGAATTCTGCCAAGGAGACTGGTGCACATCTTTAGTTAATTAATTTAAAAATAAACCTATACGGCATCGACATTGCACATTATTTTATATTTTAGTCCGTGAAAGTGACGTATGCTAAATACTGGTAAACACCGTGACATTAAAATACCAGTAATGGGCACTAGTAATTTCACACTATTTTATTGACGATTTTGAAAAAATATGAATTGTGATGTTAAGTTATTCTTAATTAACTCATTCCTTCTTAGCTTGCATGAAAAATAATATCGTTCTTCACGGTAAAGTAAGACATTTAACCATATTAGCAAATTAATGATTGTTATACAAATGTTATAATTCGCCTATTCACCCAGTACATCGCATAGTCGATAAGGTTCTGAATTCTCTGAAAATTGTATTAATGAAGACATAATATTCCTGTATAAAACATAAGTAAATAAATAATACACTAGTGTTTCATATGTTGAGCTCATCACGTTAAAACGATAATGCACGCGAAAGACGAAACTGCTGTCAATTGTTTTTCTGGGTGCATAAATAATTGTAGGGAATAAAGATTGCATGTCACTGCGTACGAGTAATTTATTGTGCGTAAAATAATTAGGATTTATATATGCCTCAGTCATAAATCAAAATAATGGAATCTGTAACTGTAGCGATATCATTTCCAACATTATGAAGTCAACGTGGAACGTTCATCGAAGCGCAAAAAAGACCTGTTAAAAAATTTAATTTGTTCTTAATTTAATGGTTTATTCTAGGTACAGTGATATTTTTGTAGGTAGATTATGTAGCTAATGGACAGAGTTATATTTACACTATATGTATAAAAATATATATACACACATATATATTTTGCTAAATAAATAGTATAAAGTAAATAGTCTTATGGTTAAAGTGTTTAGTTAATTCTATAACGTGAAAAACAATGGTTTTTAGTGCAACTAACTTTTATTAACATGTAGCTTAATTCCAATTAAGGTTTCACGTTTTTTCAATGTAATTAAAGTAAGTCGAATTATATGTTAAGCGTTATTGTACAAAAATGTCAGTTCTTTAATCTTAACGATGATTAATTTTGATCTGCATTCACTATTACGTATCAGGTTTTGAATTGCTGCGCCTCTTGAGAACAATCATATGATGTTTAATTTGTCACCTTTTACCTTTGGCTTTTTAAACACCAGAGGCGAAAGGCAGTGTTTAAATTCGTGGACTCCCATATCTCTGAATTTGCAAGGTTTGATTTACGGCTTAAGTACTGCGGCATTTTTTAAAACACTTTACAACGATCAAATTAAGTTCTATCAAACGCTATGTCTTTCTAATATTATTCTACATACGAGAGCTATGACTACGTCGTCAATGACGATTCGAGGAGCGAAACCAATAATCGGTCGTTACCTCAACGAATACGATGTCTGGATCTCATGACCTACGGGTTAAGCCATCAATTGTTCGGTCAGATAATTTGATAGCAATCAATTCGAAAGAGCCGATCGAGAGGACTGAATGTCAGACGAGAATGGGATTTTCTTTGCGATCTCACATAAATACACCATTAGTTCCAAAAAGACAAGTTAAGACGATGGCGTTGGCACGAGCAGTATACTAATCATCCTTACCTCGGAGTCACTGAGCATAAATGCCATGATCGCAATTTATGACTAGTCGTTAACTACCGAAGAAAATCCATGTATTTCTTTAATGAATGTTTAACGGCTTCGGTAATAAACGTTTATAAACAATCAGGTAATATAAAGGTCTTTATATTACTACGTAAAAAAAAAAGGTATCGAACTTTAAACGGAACGTATTAACGCTCCGTCTTTTGGCGTCGATTTTTCATCGGGATTTTCCTGATACCTCCTTTCTTCGTGTTCTACATCCGCTTCGTCTCGTTCCTGATTTTTGTGTTTACGTTCCTCCTCGTTTACCTCTTCGTTACCTTCTACATTGTTATACTTGATCAGAGCCCTCTGCAAACGTTCCATGTGTTCTTGAATATACTCGGCGTTGTCAAAATCCCCAGACCGTCCCAAGGATCTTTTTTGCACGAGTAGCGAGAACATCAGCGTCAGTGCAGGGATGGTCATTCCCAGTAAAAAACTGGGAGTCATGATATTCTTCAGGCCGTGCTTTTTAAAACCTCGAAAAAGCTCGGTCCAAATATCGTCGTTTTTATTAAATTTCCCGTAAAGGTGTGGCTTGATCTTTCCAGTCTTGGCGATATAATTGTAGTAGTGCGGGTCATACGACTGGGCATAAAGCTGCGAGTAATAAACGTCTTTGGTAGGAGGGCGATGATCCGATTCCGGAAACCAAGCACTGGCGTCGTCATAAGCCGGTGCTTTCCCTACGTAGTTCTGATGAATACGTCCTAAGCCTCTGTAGGGACCCGGGGGTGGTCCGATTCTAGCTCTGTCTCCAGGAACCGATCCTCGAAGCCTCCTCATTGGTCGTTTCATTCCAAAACGAAAAGCTTCTGGACCTATTGGAGGAAAATTCGGGCGCATCGGGGCCATGGGATAAGGGGGTCCCATGAGTGGTCCAGGTACAGATCTAACATTGGCTCTTTGATGCAAAGACATCCCTGCCGAAGCCGGTTCCACCTTGAGGAACTCGCTGGAAGGCGCTGCCCCTAAATGATTTTCTTCCGGATTCACTTGCTGTCTGCTCTTTAAGTACCTTTCCAGAGCAGCTTGGGACTCTACGGGGGTCTTGGAGTTGAGAAAGCTGCTCAGGGCAACTTCGGTTTCGACTGGTCTGTCCTGCTGAACTTGACCCACGTTATAGACAAACGGCTGATTTCCGCCGTAATAATGGATCTGGCTTCTATCAGCCTCCTGCAAAAAGTTGTGCCGCTTGTAAGTTTGAGCATGGACTCCTGGCTTGTTTTCGGCATAGTAGGGAATTTGATTTTGATCGGGATGCTGTACAAAGTTATGTTGATTTTGCTCCGACTCCTGGATAGGACCGACGCGATAATCGTTAATCGGGTCGTGAACTAAGGATTGTCTTTGATCGCTGTAAGAGGCTTGACCAGTCCGAAGTAACCGAAGACCTTGATGATTGCCGGTCATTTGCGTTTGGTCCAGAACCAAGGGCTGTACGTTCTTATGCATCGGCTGACTCTTTTCAGCTTCTTGAACGAGAGTAGGCCAAAATACATTTTGTTCTCCGTATTTCCTCGAGTTCCCGAACGTGGAAGTCGATGCAGCGATTGCAGGATATAGATTTTGTTGATCGTTCGAATCGACGGCAGTGGATGGATTTCTTGCGTACACTGGGTACAGTTTTTGAGGTCGCTCGTGGTCAGCGGTCAAGCCACTATTACCGTCTAGAGAATCCGTACTAAAAGCTTGGTATTGGTGGAACGTATTGGACGGTCCGGGTAAATTTTTTCCCGTTCGACGAGATTCTTCTGCCTGATAGTCAGTTTCCGTTGAGATGTTCCCTTCAAAATTGATCTGTGCCAGAGTTTGCCCATGTAGAAGGAGAAAAATCACGGTGACCGCCGCGAAGGCCCCCATAGCCCTGTGAGGACATATAAAGCAAACGTTCGTTTAAAATTCTGTCGCACCGTTCCGTCCACCGGAGGGGGAACTCGTATTTTCGTCCTAAAAATCCGATTTTTTTTTAGATACGCGCCATAACGAAAACAGGCCACTGTGCTATTCGGACAGTGACCAATGCTTTAACGGTTGGAAGACCCGGCCTTGTCGAGACCAAGAGAGAGTGAAAGAATTTACTACGGAAGTTCACGTGCACACAGGTACGTACACATGTACGCCAACCCACACCTGAACACGCATGAGTACAGTCCGCTTCGCGGCAACGCAGATTTCTTCTTTACCAATCGTAGACTTTCTAAAACCGTTACTTCCATTACAAATTCGATATTGGTCCAAAATAATCGCAGATTCTCCCCGTCACCTGTAATCTCGTGACCCGATATTTTAAGCCAGGGATCATCTACCAATTTTTATCGCTCGTGTTTGCGACTCCGAAATGTGTATTTCAGATTGGAACGGCACAGCTCCGGCAAAAAATTGCTAAATCTCGGTAGAATGAAGTTGAATTTTCTTTTTATCCGTTTTGTATCGACGAATCGTTGCTCGTAGCTGGCCTATAAAACAAAATCTGTGCCGGTATCGAAGAAACCGAACATTAAACATTACGGGGCAGATGTATCCCAAGAGGAACAGGATTTTCAACTACAAAAAGATACTCGCGTGCGTCGTGAAATGGAGCGAGTTGACCATGCCGTGTAATTATCTAGAGTAGCATAAGAATTCTGCTACTGATCAGGCCTCGTTACGGGAAAATATATTTTAGAGGTCCAATTTCGATTCTGGCAATGGTTGGGTACGCATCGTGATATACGTAAGAAAAAATGACTACCGGTAAACCTAAAGCATTCCCGAGTACTTGCTAAAATTTTGGTAATCGTGTTTTGATAATCACGAAACTCCAAGATGCAAATGCAAAAATGAAATTCTACTTGCACCCTCGATCGTACCCAAAAATGAATTCAGTCATCTCCTGAGGGACGATGTCACGAGTGCTCCCAACTCACGCTCTTTCGTTATAATTGATCGGTATATATAATTGATTCCTTCGATATGCGGTGACTGGTTTCGTAGGTTCGATCGTTACCTCAGTTTTTCGAAAACCGATGGCTCAAAATGTCGACTCGGGGCGCGGGATCAGGTTGGCCTTGAGCTCCGGAGTTCCGCGGCCAGTTCTCCTCGAATTCGCGGTAATGACCGAGCAACCAGCGGTCAAGGCGACCATCGAAGAGAGACCAGCCAGATATACTGAAGATCCGGAGGATGAGAAAGGCATTCGCTCGGTAAACTCCCTACTTACTGACGGCCCCCGGGTCGCCCTCTCCTCGAGTTTACACCACGGAATATGACGGAGCGTAGGTGTACATTTACGTCTTCCTTCGTGTGAGGCATCTCGACTCGACGACAGCACGAAAGCTGGGTACTTTCCTGACGAGTAAGAATAACGAGAGCAATTACGATCCACGGGGTGGTTTCATTTTTTCCCACACCACTGGGACGTACGTACCGTGAAGACCACGGTTTCCCCCAAGGCCGGATGGAGAGAAAATTTGGAAGAGAGACAAATATCGCTATTTGTAATATTTACCACTGTAAGAGAGAATACAAGGAGGTGCCTCTTTCCACCGTTTAATGTTATGAAAGAAAATTGAACGCGGCAATGGGTAGCGATCCTCATTTTTGATGCCATCTCTGGAGACTGCAGTGGTCTCGTTTCCAGAAGCTGTTCCTCGCACCATTCGATAAATAAATAACGCGATGGATGCACTGCAAAGAGACGGAAGCATTCTTCGGAGAAAGGTTCTAATCGAATAACGGGCTCACATAGCCAAGCAAAGACCTAGAATCCTAAATGCGAAGCCTGACACGTCTCATTTTTAGCATCGGGGTTCCCATGACTGTGCAAGGGTCACGGTGCGTATGGCGTACTTCGGATGGACGTAGATATTGACGGTACATTCGTACTTAATCCAAGACGTTATCTGGTATAGAGTCTAGCCCTCGACGTGACGGGGTATCGAGGCATACGCTGAGATTTTTCTGCAAAATATATTTGCGGATAAAACGTGGGGCCTGATTTCGAAAATTATTCCATTCAGGTAAGATTTCAGTTCAGATTTCTCTTGGAATATATTAATACCCACAGGTAGAGCCTCGTAGTATGTCCGGAACCAGTCCAAGCATACACTATAGGGCTGAAGACTTATAGCCAAATTTTTTGTAGGGTAATAAAAAAGCAAAAGATTCGGCAATGGAAAGAACCTCGGAAACGAGGCCACAGAATTCTGAACGTTATAGTGTCTTATGCAGGGACCTTTGTTGGAGGAGAGAAGCAAGATCCCGTGGAAGTTGTAAGAGATTCAGTGATACGTTTTTCGGTATAATTGCGCTAAGTCGTAATTAACAACTCGATTCCAGGTGACGATGCCGTTGATATGGGTGATTAAGAAATTTTAAAAGCAAATGTACCAATAAAACTAAGTTTGATTCGATCTAAGAGACAGGCGTGATGATTCTCACTTGATTTCACTATCGTTCCTAGAGTACGCACTTGAAATATTTGGGACTTATGCTAATCCCATATTGTCAGTCGTTGTACTCGTTACGGACACGTTTATTCGCACAAATGAAACGGACCCGACTCGCTATATATGGTTATATAATTACAGTAGATTACTTCCATCGTCCATTGCACGTTCGTGTACTATACGCGGTTACGTGCTCGACTCCAGCTCAGTCAACACTTGGATTCGGAGCACTGTACTTGCGATGGACATCCAGGATGTGCCCACCGTGAACATCACGTGGAGAAGACTCAAAGATTTATTGCTCGATATACACCGTCACCCAGAGCATATTTTTTATCGGTAAGCGAGTCCCCTTACATTTGTCATCTTTGTTATAATCGAACAAAAGTAGCTTCGGCTCGAGCCATTGTCGTTCATACATTCAAGAATAAATGATTTACTTAGAACCGGAGGTGACGACAAGCTGTCAGTGTTGCATATATTTAATGGAGTATTAACTGCGAAAATTCAAGTGTCATCGAGGCTAGAATAAAGAAGTCATCTTAAACTAGCGAGTCTCGCACGATTAGGAAAGTCATCGAAATCCAACTACCGCGTCCAGTCAGTGATATAGGAGAAAATTGTTGTCATTTCATTTAAATTGAAAGTTGTATGAAGTAAAGACATGGTGAAATAATCATTAGGACTCGATAGAAAATTCTTAAGAAATGTATCTACTCTAGTGGAAATCTTGAAAACTTTTATCGATCCCGTGGATGTTTAAATTTCAAATGCGTTCAGTTCGCTTCCACTTTGGTATCAGGTTGATCGTGTCGCATAATGGACGATCGTGTTGTCTTCCCCTTTGGTATCGGGTTGATCGTGTCGCGAGTGCTTTTTATCTCGATCTTGAATTTATTTCAGAGTTCACGGTAAAAGGAAACGTGTCGTGTAGACCAACATTAGGAATAAAATTTAAGAGCCTTTCGACCTAATGACAGTCCTAGAGCATTAACGTATAAAAAATCGCCGTGCCGGTCCTTTTGATCGTTTCACCAAGGAAAAAATGACGTTAGGGTCGAGCTTCATGAGTGTTCCCAATTTTATTAATTTTCGCTTAATTGATCCACGGTACAGATTGTCTCGATTAAACGTGAAATGGCAGTTTGACTTACTAATAATAAAAATGTAGCCGCGGACTCTTGGTAAGGATCCATCGACACGAAGCTTAATGGAACTCATTTAGCGGGTTAAGTGGAGATTACGTGATTAAATTCGCAAACGGTTCTTGAATTCGAGATTTTGCGAACGCGGTACAAGACCATCTGCAGTCTATTGGCCGTGGTAAAAGATTCATACTGTTCCAAAGTGACTGACTTCCTGCCTAACTATACCGTCATGGCCGTCCGTTGTTGTGAATGAACTCGTGAACGTTAGCACACATTTAACCACGTACGAGTATAACGAAATACTTGTCGCGGCTACATGTTACTCTCGTAAGTTGAAACTCTGTCGTAGAAACCGCAAAATAATTCAGAACACAGGTATTGGCCAGCACGCAAACCATGGAAATGATATAATGAACCTTACTGCTGGGTTTACAAAGTCTAATAAAAATAGGTGGCGAGAAGCTTTTTAGACCTTGGGTCTAAACGGGTAAAAATTGAAAAGTACAGTAAAATCTTTTGAAAAAACTATTTTTAAACGACTACGTACTTTCCTTTAAATTATTATATTCATGAAACGAAATTCTGGAAAGAATTTTTAACGGTGGAATACTCATCAGGAAAATTTAGGAACGCCCACTTGGTTTAAAGCGAGAATTTCGTCAAGTGAATAATGTCGATAAATTAAGACTTATTAAGAGATATTTCGTGTGACCTATGCAAGACCATGTGGGCATACGCGTAAGGCTACAGTTCACGCGAACTTGCCTGTTAACAATCCGAAGTTAAATTAATTGTTAAAAGGTGAATAACGAGTGGTTGTCAGGCCTTTCCTTCTACCGAAAAAAAAAAAAATTGGTTTCAGCAATTGTTAGAAATATTATAAAAATTGAAGTTATCCATCTCTGTTTCAGGATAGGTTTGAGCATAGGAACCAGGCCCTGGATTTGGCTTTTAGCGACGTTATGCGTTAGTGGAATATGTGGCCCGGGGTTACTATTTTGGGTAGAAGAAATAGACGACGTAGAAGTATTTATTCCTAAATCTTCCATAATTCGATCCGATGCAAATTGGGTAAAAGAACATTTCAAAGATGACATCAGATACGAGAGCATTCTTATAACGGCGAACAATATATTCGAACCAGACGTTCTCCACCTGGTAATGATAACGATTCGCGTTGTGCATGCATGCATCCGTTGTTAACTTTTCCGGCTCAGAGTGTCCAGTTAAAAAAAAAATGTGTCACATGAGATGAATTATATGAGACGAGCGGTTGGGTGTTTTGGATTTCCTTATCTAAACCGCCACCCTGTCTGAAAGAAATAGCAAAGCAAGTTCACTCGATAATGGTGAGGTGCGTTTTTAAATTAGGACTCTGATGCTGAAAAGGTTAAAATTTGTGAACGTTTTGTCTAATTGTAAAAGATTTATATTGTATCCGTTGCCGATTGATTGAAGATCGCGGAGATAGAAGAGTCCGTCAAGACGATTGTTGTTAACAATCACACGTGGCGTGATGTGTGCGCAGGGTACGTAGGGCGATGTTGCATTGCTTGTTTTTAAACCAAGTGCCATAAATAAATTATTCGCTTTTCTAGATTGACAGAACTGATATTCACTTTTCAACTTTGCATACGATTGCAATTTCAGGTACTTATCTTGGTTCGAAGGAGGCGACGCGCGAAGCGTAGAAGACGAAGTATTCGCTAACGAAATCTTGCAAAATTTAAACAGTACGTTGTTAAAGGAAGACTGCGTATACCAGTCTCTTTTAAAACTGTGGAAAAACAAAGGAGTCGAAAAGGTTGGAGCACTGAGTCGAGAACAGATCTTGAACGACGTTTCGGTGGCGTTGAAAGACAAGTAAATCAAGCGTACTTTTTTTAAAAAATTTGAAGCGACATTATCCCGTGCCAATCTAAGACATTAAATTCTACGTATATATATTTTTTCTTTTTAGAGTCGAAGGCAACATACTCCTAGACATAAAACCATTGCTTTCCGGAATAAAATATGATAGTGCAGGGCGAGTAGTTGGAGCAAAAGCAACGTTATTAAACTGGATGTTAAAGAAGTCAAATCCTGGAGTGGCAGAATGGGAGTTGGAATTTATTCAACGAGTGCTTTTTTCAAACCGTACCTTGCCAAAAGATGTGGAAATCTATGCCGTAGCCTTTCGAAGTTTCAAGGATCTTTTACACGAAGTTTTGCAAAACAACATGACAATTCTATGCTGCGGGCTTTCGTTAATTGCTGTATTTGTAATCGCAATGATCGGTAGATGTAATCTTGTGCAACAGCGAATATATTTATCTCTATTGGGGGTGTCTGTAGTTGGTCAAGCGATCATATGTTCGTATGGAGTTTGCTTTTATTTAGGATTTTTTTACGGGCCCGTCCATCCAATTTTACCATTTTTAATGTTGGGGATTGGAGTAGACGACATGTTCGTTATCATGCAGAATCTAGATAATTTGGCAGCAAGTAACGAATCTCAAGAAGACCTCCCGAAGAGGATCGCGAAGTCTCTGGAACGATCAGGAATTTCTATCTCGACTACATCGATCACGAATGTAATGGCCTTTGCAATCGGTGTCACTACAACTATGCCTTTCCTAAGGTCCTTCTGTATGTTTGCCTCCATGGGAATATTGTTCTTATATATATTCGAGATCACTTTCTTTGTGAGTTGTCTGGTGCTCGACGAGAGAAGATTGGACTCGAGGAAAGATGGATGCTTCTGTAAACGAAAACCTGAGTGGACTCCTAACGAATGTAGTCAGCGTAACACGCAACAAATAATTTTTCGTAAATTTGTGGCACCTTTCGTTATTAAAACTCCCGTCAAAGTGTCAATGTTGGTGCTATCTACTTGTATCCTTGGCTTCAACATTTTGGGGCTGTTGAAGTTGGAGCAAAATTTTGATCCCCTCTGGTACTTGAACAAGGACTCCTATCCAATTGAATTTAATGACAAATTAATGGAATATTTTCCCCAGTATGGGAAAAGGGCTGCATTATATATGACAGGAGTCGATTATTACGAAGATCGTAACGAACTTATAAAGCTCATGCATTCATTGAGAGAAAATCCCTACATCAATAGCCATACCGTGGATTCGTGGTTCGAAGAATATGAGAAATGGTTACAAAATACTAATTACGGTGATTAATAGATTATCGATGTTAGAAACTAGTTAAATTAAACGACAAATTAAAATTCTTACATCGCTAACAAATGTTGCATAATATTTTCGTTAATTTCGCAGATGTGGAGGATAGAGATGAATACTACAGTGTGCTAACGGAATTTCTTTTACTAACTAAGGAAGGACAATCACATATAAAAGATATCAAGTTCGACAAATTACCCATTGGTGATTACAATATAACAGTAAGAGCAAATACATTTCTATGCCTTTTTATCGAATACCGCAAGCATGATAGTAGAAAGTAAGAAGCGGGAAAATAAAAGAAAAAGAGAGAGATATTTTGAAACAGTTGAAGACAAAATTATGACTAAGTCTAATATTTTGTAGACGTCTCAAATCCAGATTCAACACATTTTCATCAATACCACATCAGATCAAATTCGGGCAATGCAATTGGTTAGAGAAAGCGTACAAGCTGTCAACTTCTCTAGAAGTGATGCGCGCATTTCATTATATTCACCAGATTATGTGTCTTGGGCAGCAAACAAGGTATTACGTACATTGTCAATTATTACCAACTAACTTTAACATCAGTGTTGTCGACCTGATTCAATTGTTTTTGAAATATTAAAAAAACCAATGGCTTCTGTTTAGGTAATCGGCGATGAACTTATAAGGAATTTGTGTTTGGAAATTCTGACAGTCGGTCTCGTGACGTTTGTTCTGTTACGAGACTTGCAAACATCATTTTGGGTTATATGTTGCGTACTCTGTACACTTATCAATCTTTTGGGATCCATGTACTATCTAGGACTGACCGTCGAAATATCATCGAGTATCATTATTTTACTTTGTGCCGGCCTGTCCGTTGATTATGCAGCTCACATCGCATTGGAATATATCAATGCAGAAGGTTCACGAGATGGTAAAATTATTACAGTATCTGATATTTCTCTACACAACTGTCGATATCTAATTTCATTTATTATTATCGTGTAATGTCAGTATAACATGGATATTATTAACAGAAAAAACGGTCACAGCACTTAGTGTCATTGGACCAGCGGTCTTTAATGGTGGACTGAGTACTTTTCTGGCATTTATACTGCTAGGAACTAGCGATGCTTATCTCTTCAGTACTTTTTTTAAGGTAAAATTATTTAGTACTCGTTTGTGGAATAAGAATGAAGATCAGGAAGAATTAACGTGTACATCTTTGCAGTTGTTTACTTCAGTAGTATTTTATGGTCTTTTTCATGGTTTAATAATTTTACCAATAATCCTAAGTTTGGTAGGACCAAAGAAAAAACCAATAATACAAAAAAACAATGATCTCCCTCAGATAGAACAAAATGGTTACTGTACCGTTCATCTTTTCAGCCATAATAAAGGTACAGAGTATATGCTATGACTTACTACAATGTTTAATGCAAATATTATAGGTTTTACCTCGTTGGTATTATAATTTTTCAGATCACAGAGCAACGGATATTGAGACAGCTCAGAAAGACTGCTGATATAGTACATTTTATGAACCAGACATTTACACCCATTAATGGGCTGTGCCAATTGCTTAGAAATAAATTCAGTCCTTACTTCTGTACATTGATATAATGCTTAGTATCTCTTTTTATACGACAATAAAAGTAAACAATATTAAAATAACACCTTTTTATTTCTTTCTTCTTGTCTTAACTTCTGTCCATTCAGAATCTAAATCCATATTATTTTCATTTTCACTGTTATCAGAACTCGAGTGGTCTACTTGCAACGCCGAGTCGTGAATAAATTTCCTTGTGGATTCCTTTTGGAGCAACCATGGTTGTATTTGTGGTAGCTTTTCAAATTCTGCTCGCATTGCTGTTTCATTTTCTTCAACGCAGTAATGATAAAAACGGAGTAATTCTTTGGCAACTTCAATGGAACTATCATCTTCAAGTTCTGTATTGAATTCAGCATCCATATAATCATCCAATTCAGCAGCAATGTCGCTACTGTCAGGATTTTCTATAAAAGAAATAAAATAATTAAATGTTACTATTGAAACGACTGTATATAAAACGAGATAATACAAACCATTCATGAACATCATTTCCATCATGTACAGACATAAATTTTCAGCATTTTCTTTCGGTCCCATTCCATGTTCCACAGCCAACTACAAGACAATTTTAATTAAATAATTTATTCTATTAAAAAAAATACCTGTATATTCTTTTATATGCAGAACTGCGGTAGATGTCGACTAAAATTGATGGGCAAACCAAAGAGGTTACAGGTTATATACAATGTACTTTATTACCTTTAAAGCAGTCCAGTTGCTCAAAATGCGACGGACGACCAACAAGAAATATTCTTTCTTTTCTGTCATTTTCGTTGTCTTTCGTGGCGTGCGAAGCAGTGCGAAATATGGACGGATGAATGTGATATCCGAGTAAAAGTTTTAGGTTATGGAATCCTGCTTCTGTTGGTTTCTTACAGCGCTGGAAATGGTGGGAGTTCGTAGAAGCAGGTGCCTATGCTTGAATGGTTAAACGTGGACTAGTTTCGACGTATGGTCGGTAGGTTATAGCGACAAAATCCGGGACATGAGCATTCTCTGGCACTTACTGACTTAAAGGAAATTGACAGATAAAGGTCGACAGTTGGATTGTTGCGATGTATATGTTTATCTTTCCTTAGAAATGAAGGCAGCCCGTAAAAGATGAATTGGGAGTTCATTTGTGCGGACATGTGTCGTGCGTGCATGCGAGTGGATGGTATTCTTCTGCCCATGTACGGCGATGATATGATTCGTAAGAAGAATCTTCCTGAAAAACTTACCGAGCTAACATCCGTAGAGGTTAGTCAATTTTACTAGAGGATTTTGTTGACTGTGCTTTAACGGGTCAGTGATATTAGTTACGGCTCTTTACATAATCGGTATACGAACATAAACTATTATTAATGGTTCATAAAATGTAACGTAAAATTTTCAGTTGTGTATTGTTTACTTTATTTACATAAGTGATTGGAAAAATTGGGTAATGCTCAAAGAGTGATTAATAATGACATTTCTTTGCTGCAGATTGATAAGGACGATGGGTTGCCGACGATGCTTTGCACTAAATGTGCATATAGAACCGATGCATTCTATGATTTTAAACAGCAAGTTCTGGCTACAGAGAAAAAGTTACGAAAAATGTTCGAGGGCCAGATTTCTCCTATTATTAAAGTAAGATATAGTATATTTTAAATTATTTAAGTTTTATATAAATTATAATCAGAAATGAAGATTACTTTAATTATTTTAGAATGAAATTGTGGAAAATTATGACGAAGATTCTAAAATAAGTGAATCAACTATAATAGAATTAAAATATGATAATAATAATACAGTCATTCAGACTGAAAGTGATACAAATGAATTAGTAGATGATACGTTGGCAGAAAATAATGGACAGCTAATAAATCAAGATAGTATTAATTTAATACAGATAAATGAATTAGAAAGTTCAAGTATTGTAGGAGAATTGGGTCATATCATGCCTGAAATGGAACATCTTATTACCGAAGAAAGTAAGGTGGATACCATAAAAAATCAGATACCTGATACAATTACAGAAATTCTACAGTCCCAGAGTTTAGATTATACTATAATGTATATACTGGATAGTGAATTAGAAAATGTCACTACGGATGAAAAATTTTATTTAGCTGACAAGAAAAAGATGGATATACAGGAAAACTATGAAAATATGACTAACTGTATCCCAGAAATAACAACTGAAGTTGATGATGACGATAACGATTCAGCCAGTAAAATGTTGACATTTAAGGGTAATCAAGAAAAGTTAAATTTAGATCATAAGTCGTGGCAACCACCCTTCGAGTATGAAATAATTAAAACTGACAAGGACAGTGAAAATGATAATAAAGCGGTGAATGATTGCTATGGGAATAGAAAAGAAGCAGAAAGCGAAGGTAGTGATTCCGATTATTTTGCCGATAAGGATAATATTTTGGGTAGTTTGAACGACACCATTACTAAAATTAAAGAGATCAAGCAAGATGGCAACGTTTTGCAATATCAGTGTACATTATGTTTGCAAAATTATGACGAGTTGACAGGTGTCTTGATCCATACCGTAGATAATCATGTACCGGCAGGTGGACCGTTCTTTTGTGTAGTCTGTGAAAAAGACTGTGAAAGTCTTCGGCAGTTGAAAACACATGTCAAAACTCATACTGGACAGTTTCCATATACATGTTTCATTTGTAATAAATCTTTTTCCATGAAGAAATATTTAAAAAGACACATGATTTGCCATAGTGATTTTCCGAGGCATCGGTGTCCTAAGTGTGGCGTACGATTTAAAGTCAAGTCTGAATTAGAAGCACACGTTACAACTCATATTCACGGCGCACCATATTCTTGCAGTCAATGTCCTCGATTATTTAATCATAAAGGTAATTACAAGCGACACTTGATTTCGCATTTAGATCCACAAGGTCTCCATCTGCCTAAATATCCATGCAAAGTCTGTGGGAAACGGTTCCTTAATAATCGTACTCTAATGACTCATATGCGAGTCCACACTGGCGAGAAACCATTTAAATGCGAGGTGTGTAGTAGATCATTCTCACAACAGGGAAATCTTTTGAATCATTTGAGAATTCATTCAAATCCTCGTAGTTATACTTGTGAAGTATGTGGCAAACGCTTTAACCAAAGAGCCACGTTACGAGACCACAGTTTACTCCATACCGGTGAAAAGCCTTATGTCTGTAACGTCTGTGGTGCAGCGTTCACATTTAGTGCTGCTTTACGTAGGCATATGTGGACACATGCCAGCGATAAACCTTTTGGTTGCGAGATCTGTGATTCTCGATTTATTGGTAAATATGATCTAAAGCGCCACATGAGAGTGCACAATGATAGACCTAGAGTCAAGGGTAGAAAAAATGTAGTAAAACAGGAAGAAACTGTCAATGAAGAATCCATCGATCAAATCGTTGAATTACAAGTTGAAAATTCAGAGATGGAAACGATATTAATCGAGCAGGTTTTGCCTGATCAGGATGTTTCGCGAACACTTCCACAGGAGGAGTCCGAAAAAGAAAATGTGGATGCACTATTTACTCTTATACACTACGATTAAAGTCGAGTGGTGAATAGATGCAACGTGTATATACAGTGCATCATTATTTATCATCACTATTCCAGACAGAGTTTATAAACCAGTCATCGTGTCATAATGTCATAACGTTGCAAACCAATGCCAGGTATTAGGGCGCAAGATTTACTCTACGCAGGTATTGCAAGTGAATCACTTTTTGTAATTAATGTTTAGTACCCCATGATAAGATAATATAAATAATTGTACAGAGGATACAAAAATATGCACGTAACATGTAAACGAAAGTGATATATTTATTAAATCCTTTACCCTATCGTATTTTAATTTTCATGAACATGAACATGAATAGTTTTGATTTCATGTCGGAGTATTGATTGTACATGTATTCTTATTCTACCAACAGAGCGCGCCACGTAGCCGATTTACTATTAAGGTATTTTCATGGCAGATATCGACAATATTTTCTTTTTTCGTTGATAATTTTAAAAATAATGCATTTACTGAGCTAAAGCTGTCAGAAAATCATATTTCAGTTCAACCGAACGTATTTTTAATTTTGCATCATATTTTGTATTTTGGACATAGTGTGCAAATAGTAGTTCTGCGGAAGTTCACTAGACGACACGTCATGCTTCGTTTCTGTACGAAGTTACTGTCCAGAATGCACACGTAGTATACTTAATAGACCCGTGATGGGAAATGATTAAACACTTCATCTTGTTGAGATAATGATCGATAGACCACTAATATAGGAACCGCTTACAAACTATGTGACCAATCCTGGGCTCCGAAATTGCAGGACTAAAAAGCTTCGTAGCTCTGCTAACTAATCGAAACTTGAATTCCAAGTTTGAACAAGTAAGATACGATCGATGATGCTTTATAACAAAAACTGAAGCAGTGAGGTGGTAAAAACATGCTCGTTTATCGATGCCGTTACATCGTATCTTGCGATCGTACTTTATCCCCACTGACAAAACAAAACAAAGACGCTTTCCCTTTTCGTCATGCAATTTAATCCAAATTAAATTGCATAATGGCAAAATAACTCAAGCAACCCGAGACCAAGGTGGAATATCTCTCTCGATCATTGATTAACCCATTGCACCATAATTTATTTGTGCGATACTTATCGTAGCATTATATGAAAAACCCGGTTAAGTATTTTCTCAAACTCGTATTTGGTTACCAAAATATTTGAATCGAGCCGCTCCTTGCCTTGGGGTGATTGGGATATCACGGACGACGGTATCAATTTTTTCTAGATGCTTCACAAATTTGATTACGTGGATATTTGAACTTTTCAAGCGAGTTTCGTTCTTCGACGGGAGACGACGGAAGCGGAGGAGCGGAGCCGCGGCGAAGCGCCTCGCCGCAGACTCCGAGCTCGATTGCGGGCGATCTCGGCGGGCGCTCCGAATCGTGGCGGCGCTGGCGTCGGGTTCGGAGTGCGCGGGCCGCGCACGCGCAGTTCGCGGTGCCGGGCCGGCTCGCTGCGGGCGCCATGTCGCTGCACGCGCGCTCCGCTGGCCGCCTCCACCACCGCCGCCGCCGCCACCACCGCCTCCGCCGCCGTGGGCTCGTGGGTAAGTACCCTCACTCCACGTTCCCAATCAGTCTGCACTCGCATGTCCACGAGGTAGCTTACGGGCTGGCTTCCTCTCGCACCCGCACACCCCCGCACACCTGGCTCACGCTCAGTTCCCGTGGAGGGTCCGCGAGGCCGACGCTTACCGCCCACCGAGGTACCGAGCGCGTCCGCGTATCCATAGGTTAGGTCGCCCGATGCCGACGCCAACGCCGCGACACGGACGCCGGCCGCCTTCGAATTCGAATCCAGCGGCGCGCCGCAACCGACGTGTCCTCGCGAATCGGTCCTCCGGTCGGCCTCGACAGTCCCGTCCGATATTCCGTCACGCGGGGACGCGCGGATTCACCGTTGGCACACCGCGACGCGTGACAGCTCACGCCGCGCGCCGAGAGGTTAGGTCGTCCAGCGCGCGACCTTTGAATCGCCGCGGACGGGCTCGCGTCGGGACGTGCGGTCTTCTCCGAATTACCGAAACTGGTGACGAATGGAACGCGAGGTACTCGTTGTTTCATTTATGCGGAAACCGTCGAGCTCGAGCCCTCGAGGTCGAAATTCATGTATTTCTCGCGAAGTGGCTTACGCGGGCGGATGAAAAATGTATGTAGTAGGTAACGAACTACGTCGACGTAGAGGATACCTGGAAGGAGGTTAACTCTCGTAGCCGAATATTAATTTCGCTCCAAATTAATCGGAAATATCGGTGGATGGTGCCTCGAAGAGGATTCGGATATTTATCGAGGCATTCTCGAAGATAATGACCGAAAGAGTGCGTTTCGCGAGGTTAAGTTGCTCGACGCGCGGCATTTGAAAGCCCGCCAAATGAAAAAAATCCCGTCCTCGAAAAATCGAGAAAATTATGTATTTCGCTCGCAGTGGTGAAAATAATGGATACGAGAGTTTTGTCGAGGAAAATTGAGTAGCCGGTCGACGCGTCGCAGAGTTTGCTCCGCCGTTTGCGGAGAAAATCTGCGCGGATGAGTTGGATATCGTTTCGTCTAAACGATCGCTTAACGGAGTGGATATATTTTCGGTTTGGGCTCGTTTTCCACTTTTTCCTCGCAGGGTGCTAGAGATTTCGTAGGGTCGTTTTGGGTGTCCCGGCGCGTCGAGGACTCGTTTCGGACGAAGCGCTTTCGACGTTTTGACGACTGTCAATCTGCCGAGAGAGTCGGCAGTCGCGACGCGACGGTCTTGCGACTGGACGGTTTAAAAATCAGTTTATTACGGGGAAAAGTGCCCGAACGAATGTCTGGGTGGAGGCAATACCGCGCTAAATTGCAGGGAAGCGTGTTAAACGTTCGTTTAAATATCAGGATTTTCTGTCGAACGAACGACTCTCGACGAGATCCGAATTCGCGGAAAAAATCTAGGGTAAAAAAAAAGTGTTTAATTACGAAACCGCTGTACGTATATCGGTGACGCGTCGTGTACGTCGAATCCTGATCGAACGTCTCGAAATTCTATAAAAACCTCCGAATTATTCGAGCCGATGGTTGATTTTTGCCTTTACGCGCGACTTTGCCTCTAGGTGCGACTTACAATGCAGATTACGGACAGTGGACTTTTCAATTAATTGATGCAGGTATCGGGGTGGAGGTCGAAGCATTTATTCACCGATACTGCAATTGAGCTAGCCCGACTAATCGGATCGCAAGCTAGTAGTTAAAATCGGCCGTAAGACGAAAAATTCTTGGGGGATGGCGCGAGCTCTGGCCGCGATATGATGATTAATTAATCGCCCCGATAATTAACGGCGCGACCGCCGTGGGAGGAGTGGAACGATTTCGAGACCGCTCGACAATTATGCCAAACCGCGACGCTTCCACGATAGGTATAAAATGGATTCGATTTTGATTTCGCATCGCGGCGACGTATCGTGTCGCGGTGATAACGCGCGATTGTTGCGGTATTACGTTTGCCCGGGCAATTCGGTTTCGCGTCCGTATAATTCTGCCCGCGGGGTGCGCGGATCGATCGATCGACCGATCGATCGACTTAATCGGTCCGTCCATTTTCGCGTATCCGTCGTGCGTTTTCCTTCGAGAACCGCGTCCGGGTGAAATTGAAAGCGCGACGGAATCGTTGCACTTTTTCGTTCGCCTCGGGAGAGTTACGCAAAGCGTTTTAAAATCCCGTATCCAGCGTCTTCGAGATTGGAATCAATAGGATCTCCGGTTGTTCCTCGAGGGTGAAGTTTTCCGTAGATGGGGATTTTGGGGGCATCGGAAAGCGCTTCGCTTTAGGAGGAAGCGATCGGGCGCGTGCGGCCAATCGTGGGCGGAAGCGAAACGCGGATCACAAAACGAGGCTGGAGAGAAGAAAATGGCGCATTTGTTTTAGATGGATAATTCAGCGTATGTGCCGAATCATCACCCGCCACCGTCCCTGGTCGTGTTTTCACAGCCCGGGGGGCTCCCCGAGGCCCTGAGAATGCAAAGACCCTTCAATCCACAAGTTAGTGCCCTTCCCTCCACCTACGCTTTTGCTTGCACCTCTGCATGCGCATGACTTCACCTAGCTTGACATCCGTAGTGGTTTACCTTTGCGAGATAAATGCGATTAAGTTCACGTTATAAATGTAATTATGTTGGATACCATGTTCGTTGGATTAAATCTTGAGGATTGTCGAGGATAAAGGCAGGTTTTGGGTATCACGATCGATGATAACAGGTATAAATAATTTATGCCAGGAAAAGGCTTATCGGCGTCGAATAAAGAATATGTCATCGAACCCCTATTTGCCAGCACGAGGGAATTGTTTTTTTCCCCCCGTTTGATCGAATAATTATAGCTCTAGTTTACATTTTCAGCGATGAAGATACAATAAAAGGTCTTTTCTCGTGAAACGCTGATTTATTCTTTGCATCCTTTTACACTCGACGCGGGTTGGACGGGCGTCGGGACGCGAGAAAAATTAATTGGGGAACCGCGGCCCGGGAATCGGTACTTAATTATTTAAGAGAATGCCCGAGGATTCGGTCGTCGCTGAAAGGAGGCTTCGATTGAACGAGAGGCTCGGAAAAGCTAACGGTGATTCGCTTCCGGGGGAAAAGTATCGGCTGCCGGCTCTGCCGCGCAATTAAAATAATAATGAATACCTAATAGATCGCTGATTGAGCCGCAGTGGTCGGATTCGTTTCGCCCATCGAGAAACTCATTTCCAGCGTATAAAAATATAATAAACTAATCGCGGGATAGTAACGATCGGATTACATGCTCGGAATGTACCGTTTTCAGAGGTCCGGCCGATTTATTGAAAACCGTCGATCATTTCCGCGCGTCGCCTTCTCCGTCGTTCGATTTACCGATTCGGGGACGTTTCGACCAGATAAACGGGATAATTTTGAAAAATTTATATTTTTCCCCTTCGTCAAAAAATAACAAAACTACTTGGAATGGGAAAGGCACAACGGTATCGATGTATAGCGCAACGTGCACTGAATATAGAATTTTATCGACAAGGTGTAACGAATGCGGCAATTCTCAAAGGTTGATTATAAGGTTAAAATTATTAATGATCCCGGAAGAAAGGAATTCCCGGGTGAAAACGGCGAGTTTGTATTATTTTCTGTTAATTCCGCCGTATTGCCGCTTCTCGTTCGGAGCCAATTATCAATATTAAGCCCATTGATACGGTAGTACCTGCGAACGCCCAGAGGAGATCGCATTCACGTATCGTGTATTTCCCGAAGTCCATGAGGAATATGTTACTTATTTTATGAGTACCCCTTTCTACATTCATTCGGGGGAAACGTCGCCAGCGTCGATGGCGATTTTAATGTCACGGCATCCCTTAACCCTCCGACTTAAATTGGATATGAACGACCCGCACGACCGAATTCTGAAGTTAACGACTGCCCCGATGCACTTAACACCTCGCATGACTGTATTCGTAGCTGGTTGTGGACTGGGATAAAATAGTGAAAATTATGAATATTTCTTTTAACAAGGATTTCCTCCGTTTCTCCGAGATATTTCGCCCGACAAGATGTCATTTCGCGTTTTCATCTTGGGTGGCTACAAGCACTTGAAGAGAATTTCGCCAAAAAGCACGGACTCCCAAATGTCCGGAGATATCCGCGAGTAGCGTCACCTTGCGACGTGTAATCGCGATCGAGGCTATCCGTCCTCTCTGATAAAAAAATTCCGACCGCCAAGCGGCATCGTTTCCTCGTTCCGATTTACCCGGACTGGCCGAAATTCTCGGAGGAGCGGAAGAGGGTTCGTCTACCGCATATCGTTTTCATCGCATCCTGGGTCCCGGTTCGGGCGAGTTCCACGATGTGCCTCGCGAGTGGCGATATCCTATGGCAGCGCACATCGGGGAGCCGGCCGATTCCCTTTTCCCGCCACCCCTTCGGAGGGGCGCCCGGCAGGATTAACCCCGCGTCTGATTTTGTGGCTCGCAGATCGCAGACTCGAAGGACTTGCAGATCCCGTTCAGCACAGCGGCCAGCCTGGGTTACGGGCTCCATCACATGCTCCACCTGCCGCCCCAATTTCTGCACCCCCTGTCGGCCCAGTTCGACTCTCGACTGCCGTTCAGCGCCTTCCGCCCCCTGGGGCCCTCGGCCTTCGCGCCCCCCAGTAAGCGGCTCAAGGTCGAGACCGGGAGCAGCACGGTCTCCGCGGGGAGTCTGGACTCCCTCTCGGGCATGTCCAACATGTTCTCGCCGTCGCTGCCGTCCGGAGGCATCGGGGCGACGGTGTCGGGGCCGGGCGCCCCCGAGGTCGCGCCGCAGAGTCCGGCCGGGTCGGCCAGCCGGTCGCCCCCCGGCTCGACCCCCGGCCCGGTCGCGCCCCCCAACCGCGGCCCGACTCCCGAGGAAGAGGAGCGCGACGCCGACGCCACCCCCGGCTCCGAGAACACGGAACGATCCACCCCCGAGGAGGGACGGCCCTATAGACGTGAGTCCAAAGTCATTTTCGCATCTTCGAGTGCTTTCGTGCCCCGTCGGCCCACTTCTTGCCCAAGGCGCGAGAGTCCGTACCCACGAGGATGGACTTTGAGGTTTTCGAGTTTCGTTTCGGGGGAGCGAGGAGGAACATCTCCCAAGGAATATGCGCAGGATGGAGAGAAATCGGAGTCATGGGGAAATGGAATTTTTTTTTCGTTTCCGGGATGATACCGGAATCTGGGGACATTCCGGCAAGAAGAGGGTCGACTTGGCGGCCGTTGTTATCGAATTAAGCGTTATTCGTACGTCCCGGTTAATGCGGAAGGTAGGACGCGCGGAGGATTTCTTGGGTGCGGAGATTTTAATGAACGTCCAGGGAGGGACCGATATGATTTAAGCCGTGGAGTCTAGTTTCGATCGGCGCACCAGATTTAGGGGCGACCGAAGTCCCCAGGGAGCAAATAAATACTTTTCCAAGAGCGGAGGCGAAGAAAGGGTTTGGCGCGCGCCGAGTTCTCTCGTCCCACGAGTTTCGTGTTTTCGGGAACAATGCGACGTTCTTGGGTCAACAAACGGCAAGATGGATGGACGGATGGCCCGTCGGTGATCCGAAGATTTGTGTGCTTAATCTACCCGAGTCGTTTATTTGACTGGGCGTAACAGCTGCGTCGTGCCTAGCGTGGACGCGCGACGTTCCTTTTCCTAGCTTCTATTTATTTCTCCGAGCCGTCTTAATTACCGAAAGATAGAGCCATTCATTTTTCTCCCGCGGTTTTGTACCTTTCCCTGCCCTCCGGTGTTTTTTTCCCTCTCGGCCGTTTTCGTCGCTTTTCGCCGTATCGCGCGTCCCCTCTTTTTAATTCGAGCCGACCAGGGAAGCACCCCGTCTCGCCGCCGGCGCGTTTGGTCAGCTAATTTTCATTTGATTTTCACCTCGAAAAAGGAGAAAGAACCGTTTGGTACACGACTACTCGAACCGTTGGAGTTCATCCTCCCTCGTCCTGGTAATCTCCGATGCAAAGGCTGGACACCGATGTCCCATCCTCGGCTTCGTCCGCTCTCGAGGGCCGAGGTCGCCCTCGACCTTTCCCAATTTTTTTCTTTCAATTTTCCTCCTACCTGCAATTATAATAAATCTTCCGATGCTCGATCGTTCAAAGACGCGACGACTTTCTTCTCGTTTCCCTGAATTTCATCGTTCCTTTTTTGTCCACTTTATTTTTCATAAGTGAAAATTATTACGTTCACGGACACCTTAGTTTCGAGTCGGTAATTGATTTTGACAGGTGACGTTCTCACCTATCGGATCCTCCGTCTATCCGTTTGCTCATTCGCGTTTACCCAACGTCGTGCATATACGTAGGGGGGAAATTACGACGTCCTTTGAACGGGCAGGAGTCGTCCACTGGCTGGCTAATTGGCAGGCGTTTCCCCTAAGCGGGCGAAACGACGCGTCGCGTCGCGACGACGAGAGTCTCGACGCGCCTGTTTGACCACGCTGGATTCGCGTGGCTCCGACTGTCAAAGAGGAAAGAGATTTCACTTCCCATCGGCCCTTCGTTCGAAACACGCATTAGCCATCGCGATCTGCAGTTCTCTCTTCCGATCGGACTGAACGGATAAGGAAATGACATTCGGGATTACTATATTAAATGTGCAACCGTATCGATAAAATATGAACATCGACGTGGAGCGAAAATTGTACTATCACACAATGAGACATTTTTAAGAAATTGTGAAATTTCTAGCCTGGTTATATTTCGTTTATTCAGTCTGTTTAGTGGAAGGGTAAACGAGAAGTTAACGTTTTTAATTTATCTTTTGGATTTTCGGAGGATTTTTCTATGGACCAAAAAATGTGGACGGTGTCTTGGAGTATGGATGAAGAAGTGGGTTTCTTTTTGGACAATGATTCATTGTCGTTAACGAGCTGTCCTGAAAATAGCAGCATCCTTTGACCGTTTCACTCGCGAGGGAGGAACTTGGCCGAGATAATTGGCTGGTCGTATTCGACGGTGGTCAGGAAACGTCAGGGTGTTTCAAAGGGGTGGTCGCGACGTACGTGGTCTAGTTGTTACCGGTCGTTTTAAGTGGCATCGATCACCTCGGTTGTTGCCTTATTTATTTTATTATCCGGCACGTTGATTTGGAAGCTGATCGATCCTTTCGGAAAATATATTTTGGGGAATACTTAACACCTGTACGAGAAAGAAAATTTTTATTTCGTGCGTTAAATCGAACCTTTTCGTTATTAGAAAGTGAGGCGCCAAAATGCGTTCGATTACTGCAATTCATCCCGAAGGATGCCTGCTGGGTATACAGGTGGATTCCAATGGCGCGGAAAAAATTGAAAATTAATATTGCCCTCGAATCTACTCTGATCGACCGTCAGTGGTTTCGATAATTATTGACGCTTCGTAAACCGATTTGACGAAGGCCGGAGGGTGGGATTTGGGCTTGTCGGATACGTTTAGATGGGAAATACTCGAGACCGTCGATTGGTACAAATTTCAGGCTATAACCCTTAAAGCAATTTTAAAATACGCTTCCTCCGCTATCGGCGATCCAACTCGACGGTTTACCTCCAAACCTTGGGAGGTAAAACAAAAAAATATGTCGTCCAAAAATTTGGGGGGTAACGCGTGTCGATTTCTCTCGTTCGAGAGCAAGTCCTTGTTAGGTGCCAGCAGGTCTAAGGTCGGATTTCATGCCTCCTTCGCGGCCGGGCCGTTCTGGGGGCAAAATAAATGCCCCTTGGCTGCTCCTTCCGACGTCGGTCCTCCCGAGGCGAATCGGCCTTTATATCGCAATAAACGGGGCACTTATGCTTTCTAACTTTGAGGTTTACGGGCGGTAATGCGATGGAAAAAGAGCGAGGAACGTTCGATGCGCCACCGCGCTGTGGACTTTTTGAGGTTCGGGCTCTCCGGAGGTTTCAAAGGACCTCGATTGTTTTTTCGCTTAACGCTTAACCTCTCCTTGTTTATGAAAATATTTGGTAAAATCATCTCGGGCTTATGTCGTCGTTTAATTCCAAGCAGTTATTGCAGGGTACCGTACGTTTGCGGTGTTACAGTTGCCACGGAATATCCTCTGAAATCTGAAATGAAAATTCGAAACCGCTTACCTCGACGTGCTAATTTCACTGGCACGTTGGGGAAGCTCGTCGAAAATTCGGCAACGCCAGTCTCGACCTATTTCATGCGAGTGATCTGTCCGGAACCTGTCCGAAACGTCCGAACGGCTACTGTCGGTCAAGTGCTCGTTAACGGGTGAAGCTGCATGGACGCGCAGCTGCAAGTCCCGGGAACGACTGGCTTTATAGTTTCGAACGCTTCGAGACGAGTTCCACCGCCGACTTTCCCCAAAAGCTTTTCACGCTTTTTCCAAAAATCAACAAAATATAATCCCTTAACTTACCGTTACCATTATACCGGAATAGCTCGTCGTCGTTGACGATCGATCGTCGTTCTAGGCATGCAGGATGTCTCGATATTCCATGGATACGGCGTTCCTTCGTTCTTACTCGAAATTCATCCGAATGGTTATTTTGAAAAAAACTTCAATCCCGCCCGTGTTCCAAACCAACCAATCGTTAATACTTCTAATAATCAGTCAGGCGTCCAGTCCAACGGCATTTATGAAAACGAACGGTGCGATCGGGAAACGCAGCGGGGCGCAAAAAAATCACGGCAACGGTGCCAATCCTTTGCCAACAATGCTAATTTCCACGATGAAAAATTACACGCGGTATTAACGCGTGCCCGCCGTTAAGCGGGTTATCGATTATTCCCCTCCTCCGCGCCTCGTTGGTTTTTTATCACTCAACCCGATTTTTCTCTTTTTCCCCTGTATCCACTTTAATGCAGCTTTCGGCATTACGCCGGCTTTCAGCCGGCCACGGGTGGAATTTATTCAGCGATCTAGAACAATTGCTTATTCCTTTACGTCATGACGCGTTGCGTTACGCGGGACATCGATCGAGCAAAGAAAGGAGCCGAAACGCGTCGATAAACGGGCTCTAAACGTCTTCTATCTTGAGATCGTTGTTATCATCGTCCACGCACGAGCGAAACGATCGACCGTTTCGTATCTTTTTGCAGCTTAGAGTACGCGGAATGCACCTTGCGGTTTACGCAAGGGGTGATTTAACGCGAATCGCGACCTTCTCAATGAGCGTAAGAAGGTGCGGAAAATGGCTGCGCGTTGGGAGTTTAGGAACGTCGATGCTTGCGTCGAGAGATCCTTGGTTGATTTATCGCCGGACGTCTCAAAGTCATTCTCATTACGAGGAATTACTAACATAGCCGACGGCCGCGTCGTTGCGGATCCGCGTAAGGTATCGCGAAACCTGGAGCGCGCCTTTATGTCGCTCCATTAGGCTTCTCGCAGTGACACGTGAACGCGGCTTAATTAGTCGCCGCGGGCCTGCCATTAGTCTTTGTCAGTTATTATCCCGTACTCCTTGTCGACGGATCATACTCCACTCGGCAAGAAATTTACTTAATTCCGTGCAGGTTGGTATTAAACAGTCGTCGAGGTGTGTCAATCCCGTCGAGAAGATTTATCGACGGATCGTCATCTAGCCGCCCGTTTCGAATTTATTATCGATGATCATCGAGATGAATCCCGACTTCGGGTCGGAAGGATGATCTCACTCGCCGAGATATGGTTTGGAGTTCGTGCTAATAATTTGACATTTTTTTTTCGTTCATCGAAACGTTGAATCTTGAGGGTCTCGTAGCGGGAACGTCAGGTCTCGTTCGAGGATTCGATTTTTGTTACTTTTGTAAAATTTGACATTTTCATGGCGTCTTGTGGAATTTAAGTGTGTCACTGATTAAACCGATCGATACGATACTAACGACTGGAATCGTTAAAATAATCTCATGGATTAAGGTTTACGGTTTTTCATGGAAAACGTTCGTTGTTTCCGTCAACGTTATTTATAGTTTTGCCTTCACGATTTTTATTATTTTATATTTTAACGTTAACTACTTTTGAAAAGTC